GAAAATGACACAACATGTATCTCGCCAACGCCTGCTCAACACACTGGAGGCTGTCGCAATAAGATTGATCAAGCCTGAACCCTGCATTCAGAAAGAACATGTCCAAGCGTTACATCTCCCTTGTCCTCCAGCAAACTAAAGGCCATTCTTGCCATCTCATTTGTTATCATTTTGTTCACCATCATCATATCATTCTTCTTTATATGCATCATTCCAATAGTGATTAATTTTAAACAAGACAAACTGATTTCCTTACAATTCCTAAATCTCACTCCATTTTGAAAATGTATCTACCCTCTAGCATCGTTTGTTTTTAAGCTGTACAAATCCGTTTTATAATTGTAGAAAGTCAAGAGAATTAATTGAAAATCATATTCTTCGTTCAAATTGTTGCTTTTTATTCAGTCTTTACTCATTATTCGTTAGTCTTTTTGTTCAATACACTGCTTCATATAGTTGACAGTTGCATTGATTCACCTTTGTTGCTACATATATAAACATGGATTCCGTTATTAACCTTTCTTTCCATTTGTTTTTGTTGTTTTCCCAAAAACCCATATCCTATATTATTGATGAAATAGGCTACCTCATTAAGCGGAGTAGAACTCTGTTTAACAATGACGTTCTTCACATTTGAAAGTTGTACCAGAAAAAAAGAAGGACCAGCAATGAGATCCCCTATCTTGCTAGTAATAACAAATATATTTATGAAGTTTTGGGAAAACAACACCCTAAAACTATTCACATCTTCAATTAAATTTTGATAGAGATATGTTGATGATACTCTAATGATAATAAATAGACGGGATGTTGAAACATTACATTCAGATGTCAACAGTCAGGTGGATTCAATGAAATTCACTATAGAAATAGACAATGAATCGGGGAACCTGCCAATGTTGGACTGTAAAATCAAAAGATCATTAGGTAGCACTTTAAAAACATTACGTAGAAAACTAACGCATTCTGGAAGATTACTGAATTACCGCTCAGCCCACTCAACCACAGTAAAACAAGGGTCTGGCAAACAGAATATGTAGACTAACATCATGCCCTGATGGCCAACAAAAAGAGCTGAATATCTTATTCAAGATGTTATTAAAGAATCAATACCCAGAGCAATTCATAAAAGATAACTTCAAGAAGAAGAACCAAAGTCAACAATAAAAGGAAAACAGTAGTATTGTAGTGGGCGTTGCTGATAACAACGGATATAAGTAGTAAATATCGAGAAGGTGGCAAGAATCATAGGGAATTACCGGCGATGGGTAAGGTTTCTGCCAAGAGCAACGCAGGGGACAACATAGGCGTATTACAGGGGATGTTGCTGATAAGAGTGTATGAAGAGCCGGTCAAGAGCAAATCAAGACAGGAACCGAGAGGAAACGAAGACATTTGCAAATGGCTGCGTTAGTGCAAGGAGTACCATATGTAACCACTACCATTCCAATTCTTCCTAATAAACATTCTCTCGTCGAGTTGTCTTCTGTCTCTTCAGTATTACCATACAAGAAAGGAAAATCAGAGGCAATTAGAAAAACTTTATAAAGGCTGGTATTTTCACAGCGTTCAAACCAACGAATTTGATAAGAAATAGATTGAACCAACTAAAAGATCCAGTCACTAAATTGGACAAGAACAATGAGGTGTATAAAATACCACCTCCAAACTGTCCAATAAACTATGTCGGACAAACATCAAGTCGTTGAAAACCAGAGTGAATGAACATCGAAGATTAACCAAAGGTTACTCCACAAAGGGACAAAAATACAAATATTTGGAAAAAAAGTTCATTTATAGCAACTCATGCAATGGGATGAAAAACATAACATTGATTGAAACAACACTATCATACTAAAATCCAGCTAAAATAAATGTTAAGGTGGTTAATAACAATCCATATTTATATATGTCAACCCTAACACATGCAGCAACAAAGGTGAATCAACACAACTGTCAACCATATGAAACAGTGTATTGAACAAACAGACTAACCAGATAATGAGTAAAGACTGAATACATGACGCCTATAGGTAAATATGTGAATAAATATTGATTATCATTTTGACTATCTAAGATAGCCGTGGTATCGAAGACTAGTGTTGAACCAGCGACCGCCGAGTTCGAATCCGGCCGCGGTCCATATTTTCATTTCACCTACAATAATCACTCAGTATGAATAAATATGGCTGAAATATTCCAACTGTTGATGTGACCACAGACAGTAATTCTCTGCTCGAAATATTGCCAAAATAAAAACTTATCATTATGTGTGAACTTTGTTTACAATGCATCAATCCATTCCACAGTGCACAAACGTTTCACTGGTATACTGTAGTTGCATGTTATTTACCATATTGGTAACTGAGATACCATTGATAGTATGGACAACTGACTTGTAGTTTAGATCTCTTGTTTTCAGCGTCTGGTTTTATGTTGCCTATTACCAATCAGCGCATACACCTGAGTAATTATTAAATCAAGTCGCTAGTTTATCCTCGGCTGAATAATTGGATAAATAATGAGTAAAGATACTTCACGTATGTTCTTATATTCGTAGTGGTCAATATATTGTCTTTGAGTTTTCATAAAGGTATGTGTATTGGAATCACTACATATCACATTGGTGAATATAGTTAAAGCTCAATAAACACTCCACCTAAACCATGTCTTACTATCAACTGTAAGCGTAACTATTTCACGGGAGACTTTAAAGGCTACCTTAGCAACGATCGAAGTAACCAATCAGTTTTCTCCATTTTGGCTGGAAAGATGGATTTTCATAAAATAAAGAAGTTTAATTGGTTATTTCAGATGTTGCTAGGGTGGCCTTTAAAGTCACTCCTATTTCACAGGTGTTGATCTGTTGCCTTAAGTAATAATATTGAAATATTGAACTAAATAAAGATGTAAAAAAGAACGAAATATTCAGTTGTAGCCGTGTATTATGATATTTTTGGACTTTATATAATTTTTTATCAAGATCCTCGATATTTTTGTACCAACCATCCCGATAGTATATCTGTTTAATCCGTTATGTTTATCAGCTGAAATGTTATGTTGCATAACTTGAAAGGAACGTATCCATTTTGACAATGAATACAAGTAAAGTTCATATGTGATCTCAATTTATTCTGTAAGAAAACAAGAACCTAATTTTAGTTGATTTGATAGATGTGTCACACAATGGAACAGTATTATTAACTAGATTACGTTTTGAACACAATTTGTTATGCATAGTCAGATAAAGAGAACCCCACAACTTCTAATTCTCTCACTTTCTTTATGATCCACGTGTTATGATTTTCCATATACCTGGAATTGGTACTAAATCATTCCTGTTGCATGTGTTTGCTATTGATTCAGTGACCAAATACTCGATTATCGACCAATTTTTTCCTCCATCCAACCAGGTTATTTTTAAGGATTGTCACTCTGTCCTATCTTGTTGTGTGTAATTGCATGCAGAGCTATAGCTGAGCTTTTTTCTAAATTATTTCTCTTAATAGGCTCTATCAAATTGATCTAGCTAAGCTTTTGTGCTCCAATAGTCTAATTGATCCTGATCGACTGCTTTGGGCTACGTATTTGACCTTGTAATCATTGCAAAGGATTTAATAAACTAAATTATTCTACCACTCTAATCCCAGCCTTATTGAAAATCCTACGTAATTTCTCTGAGGTCCCTTCTTTGTATGTTAATACTGTAGAGATTTTGAACTCTCTCTTCACATTATCGCCACTATTATTATTATTATTGTTAACACCTGTGTTATTAATATTAGTCGTATTTTTATATGATTACTAAGGGATTAACTTTTCTACCTCTATTATGTAGACATTTTACTGAGCCAACTTTAACTAGCATGGAATGAGATGATTTAAAGTCCAAGTTACGTAACCCCAGTAAATAATACTGTTCCACTGTGTAATACATCTTATGAACCAACTAGGATGGAATTACATTCCACCACAGTGCCCATGTTTTACACTTAGATTAGGAATATAATTCTTTCTTTGCTTTAGAAATTATATATATATTATATATGCATTAACTATGGTAGATTAAAGATTCACCATTATTCACCTAGAATATCTGTTTTATGATACTCTTGTTATCCTGCGAAGTTAAACGAATACAACTGGTGATTCTGTATAACTATGAACATATATTTAAACGACGATATTTGGAGGTTTTTTTCAATTTCCTTTGTGAAGCTCTGATCCACTAATGATAATGTCTAGCATGACATTGAAACGTTCGCCAACCCACTCTGAATAAATGTGAATATGCGTTCACTATAGAAGCATACCGACTGACAATACAAGACACATCTTTCGTCTCAACAATAGGCAGACAAAGAGACTCCAAAATCGTATTATGTATTGATATAAGTCATCAGAGATGGTCAACACCTTTTATTGACCGAGATCCCATAATTGTTGGGATAATTGTTCAGTATTACTTAAGCCTTGAGATTATATGGCAAATACTACAGTAACAGATTAGATAGCTTCTTCAACACTCACTTTAACAAGAAATGAGACAACATCGAGTTGGATGAACATTTTATGGAATAATTGCTGACACTGAGATTCATTAGGCTTTTTCTTTTATAGGTGAAGCATGATTTTCTAATTAATTTATAATCTGGGTTGTATTGTGTTCTCTGAGCTGGGTTGTTTAGTCGTGGAACTTTCAGCCTCTTTCTAGACGACATCATCAGCATTTACTTCAGTATGAAGTGAGCTGTCAGTATCTCTCTGTGAGTCACTTAGCAGCTTCTCCTGACCAACTGCTTTGTGACTTGTGATTTTCTTTGATTGTTGTGTCATTGACTGTATAGAGTTTCCTGTTGGCTGTCCCTCTGACATTTCTGTCATCTATCATCTTTCTTATTGGTTGATAGATTGGGTCTATGTCTATACATCTGTTGATTGCTGACTGACTCACTGACTGATCTGAATGCCAAACTTCTAGGAATTCTCTAATATTCTTTGTGTTTCCTCTCTCCATCCCAAACTCGTACATTGTCAAAATTGAATTCATGTCCATAGTTGTTATTCACGTGCATTGAATTGAGTGATGAAATGTCGTGACGTTTAATGGCCAATTGGTGTTCATGCAGACGAAGGCGAAGAGGGTGGCCACTTTGTCCAATGTAGTGTTGACTACGGTTATTGCACTTGATTTTATAAATGATGTTTGCTTTGTCTTCTTTGGTTGTTGCATAGTTTGGTCTGCATAATAGTGTTTGGAGGGAATTTGTTGGTTTATGAGCTACACCAATTTCAAGTAGTTTCAGTAATCTTGTTGTGATTTCTGATACATTCTTTATGTATGGTAGGATGTTGGGTTTATTGATTTCTGTTTATGACTTTGTAGTTGATGATTCACGGGACAGACATCTGATAAAGTTTCGTGGGTAGCCGTTCTTCTTTAGGATTGACATCAAGTAATTTTCCTCGTTTCTCCGTGAAGTTGGTGTACTGCAGTGTGTTCTCACTCTTTTGTGAATAGAGTCTGCACGCAGCTAATTTTAGACGTGCTTTGTTAGGTTGTTGCTACTGTAGTTATTGATTCGATCAGCGTGTGTTGGCTTCCTGTACACTTGGTTTTCCCGCATTTATCCCACTGACTAAAACATCCAGGAATGGTAGTTAGTGGTTCGACTCCTTTTCCATTCTTAATTTAATTCTATTCAAAACGTTGTTAATCGAACTGTGAGCTTTTTCTGTATCATCTTTTTTAATGATGATAAAAGTGTTGTCCACATTGAGAATTCAAATTTTTGGTTTGATCAAAGAATGATGGCTTCCAGTCTCTGCATCACTGCTTATGCAATTAGTCCGGATATCGGTGACCCCACTGAATTTCTTTTCATCTGTTTGTATATCTTGCTATCAAATTGGAAGTATGTCAGACAAAGATCGGTGAGTTCCATCAGACTTGAACATTTAAGCTTTGTGGGTTCTGTGAGGCTTGCGTCTTCAGCGAGCAGGAGAGACATCGTTTCCTTGGCCAATTGGTGTTTGATGGATGTGTGCTGATGTACTGATGATGTCGTATAGAAAGACGATGAAAGCTCCATGATTAAACATCTTCATCTCAGAGAACACAATACAACCAGAACCATTCACCTGAGATACGAATATTCTTCATTTCAACATTATAATCTGTTCTACTCTAATCTTTGTTAATTCACACCGATGAGGAGGTACGCCACCGGTGTAAGTAGACAGTCGTTACTGTTCTAATGTTTGGTTATTATTCCGACTAATATATTTTCAGCCGTTTGGTTACTTGCTTGTTCCTCCTAAGAAACCCTAATGTTGAGGCACCATCTTGACAACTAATTTATTAAAAATGGTAAAAGTTGCAGTTTTTGAGTTTAGATATCCAAACATTTTTTCAGTAATACAGTTAAAGTGTTTATTTTGTTGGTCTTCATCTTTTGAGATCAGTGATCATTTATCATATCGTTTGACTGTTAACTTATGAGCTATTTTCGCTATCGGATAATTAAACTGAGAAAGTTAAAGTTGTTGATAATCTGTGCCTCTAGTGTTGCAGAGTGCGAATATTGTTTCATTTCCTTTAGCTAACAGGTTCTTCGGTTTACAGAAGATCCATCAGTCTCTGTGTCGATATAGTAGTTGTATCACTTATACAAATATGTATCGATTGACAAGTCATTATTTTATATAATTTTACTTTGTTAGGAAAGATTACTATCGATTAGATGGTTGGGAGGATGATAGTCGACGACATCGTCGACTCATTCCAAATCCACATGGTACAAATTATTCTTCTGCTATTTTTTACAATGATAATATACGCCGTCGATCTGTTGTTCAAAATCATTCTGATCAGTTGGCAAATCTTTTCAAAGAGGCTGAAGCACAACATGCTCGAGATTTTTCAGTAAATTCTGAATCGAATGAAATGAATTCACTACAATCTGAACTTCAGCCGGATAATACTTCAGTATGTTCAACAACGAATGAATCATCTGTGGATATTACTGAAACTTCGAGTCCTGTTACGTTAACCTGGTTTCAAGAGGACATGCTTTACCCTGGTCGTTTGTGCGTTGACTTTAAAGGTTAGTTTCATACTGATTTCTTTACTGTGATTGTAATCAACCAGAACAATTGTCTTATCTTTGATGAAATTGAATCACCGAATGGTACGCTGTTATAACGTTTTGGTATGTATTCTTAATAGCTGGCTTTATTTTCTTTTCGACGAGTCATTTTCAAAGACTGTACAATCGTAATCATTCTTACAACAAAATGTATATATCCATCAATTGCTAGTGGGCCAATACAAGGTCATCAGAAAAGGTCAATAAGATCACAAGGTGATAACGGCCAGAAGGTCAAATCAAGGTCATCGAAAATTGCCTATAGGATTGTAGTAAATTAGTAAAGAAATTCTGAAACGGAGATTGCTATAAGCAACTTTTGATGACCTTTATTTGACCTTCTAGCCGTTATCACCTTGTGACTGTATTGACCTTCTTTGATGACCTTATGATGGCTCACTAGCCATCGATGGAAATATATATATATATATATATTTCTGTTGTATGATTACGATTGTGCAGTTTTTGAAAATGATTCGTCCAAAAAAGTTTTCTTCTCTGAATTGTCTTCTATTACTTTTTCATTATCTAATGGGACTATTTCGATGATTGAAAAACAGCAAGGACTCTGTGACAGTTTAGGAACTGAATTGGTCTCTGCATTTTTCTGCTAAGCTTGATTTCATCTAACTGATAGTGTTTTTTGAACCATAAGCCGTAGGGAAATAACTTAGAGGTCAGTAATAAGCTTTTCACCTGAGTTGTATGACATTATTATAAGTCCTGGGTATAATCTCTCTTAATTTCAAATAGAATATTCTCATCGGTAATATTGATCGGAAATTTCTAATTTCTTTTCTATGGTTACTGTAACAAGAATGAGTCCACCACTTGCTATCTCAAACGTTTATGTTTTGCTTCCCTCCCATCGTATGGATGGTATTTATGAGTTTGTCTAGCAGTTTCATTCCATTTTCGCTGAGAGCTGAACACTAGAATCAGATGATGCATAGTAGTGAATGTTCTCTGAAAAACTGCATTCTCCACAACTGTGTTTAGTTGAGCTTTGATTTCAACACTATAGTAGATAGTAACAAATGCCAGGTAACTACGGCCTAGTTATTTTACAAACTACTTGGTGACCGTCGATAAAGATATCGATTGCGAAAAAAATGCTGATGAGTAGAAAGACAAGCTAAACGAAGCAATTACCCGTGATTCTTATTTATTAAGTTGAACATTGTTGGGTAATGTATGATGTTGCTTGTATTATCCCGTCGTTAATTGAACCGAATTGATCAGTCTCTATTGGCATGTAGGCTCCTGCGCGTATGCCTCGATATTGTCTATATTTTCAATTTCTATATCAACTTTTTCTAATGGCCAGCAGTTGAATGTAGGACTCGCGTTTCGTCCTATTTGGGACTCGTCAGCTGGATTTATCTGCCTCTCAGTGAGCAATGCTGTTCCCACCAGGACTCGGACTTCGTACCAACTGCCTCCAACGTTAGAGCCTTATCCAGTAGATCAACAAGTCACGATAGTTCAATTTACGATGGGACAATACAAGCAACATCGTATAAACCATACCCATTGCACAAGAAGTGACTATCATGGGTCGGTTGCCTAACGGATAACGCTCTGGCGTTTGAAGCGATCAGTCTTGGGTTCGAGGTTCAGTGGGAACAACGTCGCTCACGGTGAGGCAGGTGCATCTAGTTGAAGAGCCTCAAGTGGGAAGAAACGCACATCCTGGATTCCACTGATAGCCACTATTCATTTTTAGTATGAAGATTGTTAAATAATGCTCGACAATAAGAAAATGTCTTCGAAATAACTTCTAGATCTTACTATTATTTCTTTCTACATGTGTTTTATGAGCATTACTTGTTAAGCTTATTTTACTTTGTAAACATTTTTCATTATAGATACTGCAAACCTATCAGTACCTTGTATTCTAGTATCTTTAGGTGTAACCATACATGGTACACTATCCATTTCAAAATATGAATTATATTTTGAACAGGATACAACTAATCCTGTGAATGAATTAATTGATCAACGAGTAAGTACAACCCAAGAGTTTATGTTAACCGCCTACGTTTATTTTTTTTTATACAGCCAGATCCAGATCCGAGTGACTTTAAATACCACTTCATTAACTACTGAAGTAACTAGTTAGGTTTATTAAATGTGGTTAGAGAGAGAGATAATTTCTTCGTAAAAATTTTAAAACATCTAACTAGTTACTTCACTTGTTAATAGAGTCATTTTCAAAGTCACTTCACGAAGTCAATGATACCATAAAAACGATTTCAAATGTTTTTCTATCTCATGTTAGTGGCGATAAAACTTGGTCATGATTTTCAGTTATCTGTGAAGTTTTCAATCGGAGTGTTCAGTTTAACGATGAGAAGTTCTACTGAATATATAAAATACAAGTATAAAACTTGGGCAATGTGGTAGAATGTAATACCAAGTTAGATTTGTATATTCGATGAGACCAGCACACAGTGATACAGTATCATTTACTTGATAATCACCTATCCAGCATAAATTATTACTCCTCACGATCATTTCAATGTAATCACACTAATTTCATTATCTGATTTTTATAATCCTTTCACCTGATATTCTTTGTTTTTATTGGTAGTAAAGTTTTCCATATCTCTGGTATAGGTGTTACAACATTCCTATTATATATGCTAGTTGGATATAGATTCCATGAACAAAGATTCAGTAATCAGTCTCCCTCCTTCTAATTATATTGAACTTAATTAAGTACAGTGGTTTTATCCCACCCTATTGTTGAGTGTTAATGCTTGGATTGCAATAGCTGAGTGTTTTTTCTGGATTATTCATTTGATTGGGGTCTATCATTCTATATTTAGCTAAAGATTCCTGTGTTCCACTAATGTAACTGACCACGACCAGCTAGTTTCACCTATGTACTTGACCTCACAGTTATTACATGGAATTTGGTGGATTGGATTATTTTGCTTAATTCGATCCATCGGGTCCTGAAGTCAACCGACAAAGCTCATCTCTGAGTGAATTTTGTAGGTTTCAATGTCACCCTAATTCCAGTCTCATTGAGAATCCTTCTTGCACATTCTCATGTTCCTTTCTTATATGGTAACACAATAGAGGCTTTCAACTTATTTCTACTTGTGTTGTTGTCATTATTTGTATTTGTATTACTGTCAGTATTATTATTATTATTATTATTATTTTGAGGAACCGACACATTGTAACAGGTATCTAGACTTCAGATCATCTCATCCAATGTCAATGACGGTGGGTTTAGTAAAATATCGAAATGATAGAGCAAGAAAACTCACTAGTCAGTGGACAGACTTAAACAAGGAATTGAAACGCATACAAGAAGCGTTAATAATTGATAATTATCCTCTACCGTTTATTAAAAAAAAACTGTAGGCAACATAAGAAACAAAATAATGACAGTAATACAAATACAAATAATGACAACAACACAAGTAGAAATAAGTTGAAATCCTCTATTGTGTTACCATATAAGAAAGGAACATGAGAATGTGCAAGAAGGATTCTCAATGAGACTGGAATTAGGGTGACATTGAAACCTACAAAATTCACTCAGAGATGAGCTTTGTCGGTTGACTTCAGGATCCGATGGATCGAATTAAGCAAAATAATCTAATCCACCAAATTCTATGTAATAACTGTGAGGTCAAGTACATAGGTGAAACTAGCTGGTCGTGGTCAGTTACATTAGTGGAACACAGGAATTAACAGATCCGAATAAGATTAATAATCTAGAAAAAGACAGCTATTTCAATGCACACAATCGGGTGGGTGGGATAAAACCACTGTACTTAATTAAGTTCAATATAATTAGAGGGAGAGAGGCTAATTACTGAATCTTTGTTCATGGAATCTACACCCAACTAGCATATGTAATAGGAATGATGCAACACCCATACCGGAGATATGAAAAACTTTTCTACCAATAAAAACAAAGAACATCAGGTGAGAGGACTATTCAGATAATGAAAGTAGTGTGATTACATGGATATGATTATGAGTAATGATAATTTATGCTGGAAACGTGGTCATCAAGTAAATGATACTGTATCACTGTGTGCTGGTTACATCAAATAAACAAATCTAATATGATTATATTCAATCCAGTAGAGTGGCTCATTCACAAGTTTTTTTGTTAGCACCATGAGAACCAAACATCCAGTTTAACTCGGAGCTCTTTTGACTGACCAACGTTCTCCAATAGTTTCAGATTTTCGCTGCTCTTCGATAATTTTAAGAACACATGTAGACGGATGATATTGTTTTCATTTTAATTTCTTTACTCGAATACAGACATTTCTCCACATATTATGTACAATATATAAACCAACCAAGGTGGTTTGGTAGGTAAAGGTTAACGCAGATGTGGATTATGCACTTGAAAATTATTCTAAAAAAAAATACTGGTAGTATGAGTGATGATACGAATATCGAGAGTTACATGATACTTTAAACATGGTGTTTTGATAAGCGAAATAGGTGGAAGCTTGGAAAAGGTAATAAGGTTGCGTAATACTGAAGGACGAAGTCAGTGGATAAATAAACTGTGTATATTAATGGAGTGGGAGCTTGAAAGCGGTAACAAAAACAGCCGTATGCATTCATGAGTAATATATGTTACTTACTATACCGTATACGAAGTAGCCAGCGATGAAATATACATAAATCAAACATAGTTATTCATCATTTTCGGGTTTTAGTTATCTGTTACAACTAAAATCTATCGACAAAACTGCGCTATGCTGAACAGATCACAAGGATTATGAGGTCAAAATTCACAAGATAAAAGGAAACACGCTTTTGGCTGATAACTAATAACCAACTATTGAGAAGTTGATTAGAAAGATAAATGTTATGTTATGTTATGTAAATTGATGACGGTAAACAACATTTTTAAAACGTAGGCTTATAGTTCAACTTGCCTGCTGACAACATGATCTAGTCTAGTTTAAAGGGAGTGAAATGACTAGCGGTTAAATTCTTATCATAAAAGTAGGATTATTGATAGGAGCAATAATGTGATTCGTTTCATTTTTGGAAAATGTTTCATAAAGAAGCCTTACTGTCCAGTTATACTGAGGAGATTTGAATTCTAAGATATGTATTATTTCAACCATTGAACAATAGGATTAAAACAAGATGATGTGATGCTTCTTCATTAACTTCATTAGTATACATTGTGAATGATGTTGATGAATAATGTATGGTAAAAAGAATTGGTTCTCAGATTATGAAGTATTAACATAGTATGCTGAGATACACGGAAAAAAAAATAAACTATGCATTAGTTTCCATCTCATATACATCAAATAGGTACCAGGTTGTATAATTTTTTATGCATAAATTCATTGAAAATATCATCAGCTTTCCTTTGCTGAGTATCTTCTCCTTTCTTCATTATCCAACAATACTACCAACTGTATCTTTTACTTGTTATTTTAGTGTTACTGTTATGATTATGTAGGATTATTTTTTGTTTTTACTTACTGTATTGTTGATTGATTCATTTCTCTGTGAAGTTATATTAATCTCAATAAAATAATTGCTAATCTGTTCAACGTATACATACAAACTATTCATGATGAGACTTTGAATTTATTGAGATTGATATGACTTTAGTGTTGGGATATGATTCATCCACTTACAAAGATGACTTTTAAGCATTTGATTCTGAATTCACTCCACTTACTTTGACCGTCTCATTGGGTTGCATTTAATTAAGATTTTATGACATATCAAACTAGCGACCTTCCTTTATGGATAGTGTTAAGTGAATTAGAATCAATTGAAAATGAAACTATGACTTATTTCGATCTAATTTAACTGAACTTCAAAGAATTTATTGTATAGTATATTTATTAATGGTCAGATTGTTGTGAAATTGCTGTGTTATAAATCACTAGGGATCCACCAACACTTGTAATGCATTTGAAATAGAAGATTACCATAATTTTGAATTATTTTTTTTTATAATGGTACATTCACTAGAACAACTTCTTATAAAAATCTAGTTAAGTTCTTATGCTTTTCAAAAATCTACTTTTTGTTACATTAAACTGAAGTTTTCATCTACCTAACATCAGTTCATAGGTAAATGACTAGCACTGAAAAAACCAACACAGAACTTCATACACAAGTGCACTGGCTCAAGTTGCTACACTTCACCATAGTATCCAAAGTAAAGGTTGATACAAAAAAGAACGATATCACAGTAGGCAGAGTTATATGAGAGAATAAACAGTCTGAAGATAATGCTTAATGCTAATATTCAAGCTTTAGAAGATGCTGAAGAGTGAATACATCTGCGCTATTGTGACCAATTTTCAGCCATATCACTAAGAGATCTCGACAACTGATTGCTATCGTTTCAGAGACTTAAGCCAAGCACTTTACATTTCACCACATGGCTCAGACCAACAGTGAGAGACTTCACTGACTGATGTCATTTCTTACTTTGGCCACTTTGAACCTTCTTCGAACCTAATTGTGGGTAAATATTAACCATCATAGGCATAAGTGTTCTTAGTTTGAAGAATTATTATTTTGAAAATATGAAACATCTATATCAATCTTATTTTTTGTGTTTTTATTTTCATTCATCGTATTCAACAGGTTTTAGCCTATATTGAACATGTTTATAGTAGATGGTCACTTTCAGAAATACGCGCAATATTCAATCGTTCATTTCTGCATCGTAAAGTTGCATTGGAAATATTTGTAGCTTCTAGAGGTGAGTTATTAAAGTTGTTTTCCTTAAATCACTAATGACTCAATTCGAATACATGTTGCATATTATTGTTATTATTATTATTTGTACTTTGGGTTCCTAGTGGAACATAGGGCTTCAGTACCACATCACCATGTCACTTTCCTCTCTACAGTCTTCTTAACCTGGCTCCACGACACCCCATAAGCTTTCATTCCTTCCTCACACCGTCTCTTCCATGTCAACCTCGCCTCGGACCCCAAACTCGTCGTTTCCCATTTCGGTTCCACTCGACCTGGTCTGGCCTGGACTGACTTGACGCGTCATGTCCCCAAATGATCTCAGTGTAAGTCCAATACAATCCAATCCATCTCCACTTCTTTCTTCTGCATATTTGTTGGGCGATCGGTTCTTGCTCGGTTCATTGCCAGTCAGCCAGCCAGTGTTCCTTGTTGCTTATTCTTATTATTCGGGCCATCTGATCTTCAGTGTCGACTGAGCGTAGGCGGTAGCTGTTGATGTATGTCTGTAGTTTGTTGTAAATGCTTTTCGTAACGCGCCAATTCTCTCAACCATCACATAGAAGCACTGACTTACTTGACTGACATTAGTGTTGAAAATCCGGATTTTGTTCACGCTTTATACTGAGTGGAGTGCAGTAGATCTGCACACTGATTTCAGGTTGATGAAGGCCTGTTGTTTCACTGTATACATAGCTATTTTGCGAGTGTGGAGTTGTGGCTCAATGGTTTAAGGAGATGATTATCAACAAGTGGGTCATGGGTTGAAACCCCGCCCCACCTACTGAGGTTTGGGCAGCCAGGTAGTATCAATAACCCTCACACAATAGGTATGGCTCATTGCCTACTGCAGAGATGTGCACAAGGTGGCTGAGTGCATTTCAGATCGTTCATTCATTCCTGGTTGGGTAATTCTGGTTACTACGATGGCGTTTTCTATCATCAGTCTCACCTCTACCACCAATTTATTATACGGACTTTCGTAAGCTCACTAACTGACTTAGAATTATTTGTGTTTGTGTTGTACACTGTTACATATATATTCTCAGTATACAACCACCAATCGACAAACACAGTAGTTCTTCGAGACCTTTTATTTACTTTTAAACGTGAAATTTCAATCGATTAAATCCAACCGATCAGTTTAATTTGCTGAATCAAGATGAGTGAGACTAATGCACCTAGGTTAAACTCACTTGAGAAATTTTATTGTAGTTTCTTAAAAGGAATGTAAAATTTTCACCCTATGCATTGGGATCTGCTCGGTACTGCAAGACTAGGTTAAACGAAACTGCAATGGGTCATACTCGAGTTATGGTTTAAGCCGTTTAGATCAATTCAACTAGATTAGGAAATAGTACTAATTCGTAATGAGCGGTTTCCAGTCAACTATGTTAAGCAGTAAAATGATCGCGTTATCACACGGCCAAAACCCCAGGAACTGTTATTTACCGACAGTAAACGAGTTCTCCTTGTTCTTACTTCCTATGTCACGCAGTCAGTATGCGCAAACTGAAGCTGGACAGTAAGATAACCGATACTAATAATGATAGTTATTATAGCACAACCAAATAAATTACAACTTAAATAACTCAGACTAATATTCTTCATCTTGTTGACTCTCAGTGGAATCCAGGAAGCGCGTCTCCTCTTATTTGCGACTCGTTAACTGGAGGTACCTGCACTGCAGTAAGTGATATTATCCCCACTGAGACTCGAACACAGTATCCATCCCTTTAAACGCCAAAGCTTTGTTGACTAGGCCACTGGGGCACGATAACCACCACTCGTGCAACGTGTATCACTCGTCGCAGTTTCATACTTGTAACTCCCCGTTGCTATGCAGGGTCGAATTGGTCGACCTCTATCAGCAGATAGGCTCATATGTGGATGCTCCGATACTGCCGGATATTCCACTGTTAGTCACTAAGATGAATATGACATCTTGAATAATATCCAGCAGTACCATGGGGTCCGCGTAGGAACTTATCTGCTAACAGATATCAAACAATTAGGTCCTGTACAGCGATTGGAAATTAAAAGTATCAAAACAATAACTCAAAGTTACTTCGCTAGCCGTAGCACAGAAAAGTTTTCAATCAATTTTCAGCTATCTTTAATTTGTAGAAAACTTTTGTAGGAAGATTGCTTTAGAAAACATGAATTCTTAAACTCAATATTCCCCTCAATGATTACTGGCAATTCTACAATAGAATTTGGGGGTTTGTGGGGATCTAGAGATTTTTCAAGCTGGTGTTCATCATGAACTGGCATCAGTTAGAGGAACACTGGGAACCTTGGAGCACTGCACAGCTGTTTTTTTCGAGTATAGAACTCTTAAGCAGTGCGCACCCACGATCCCACCAGGGGTTGAACCCGCGACCTTCAGGTTCTGTGGCCAGCACGTTACCATTGAGCCACTGAGTCAGGACCCAATGGTCAGTCCATGACGTAGCGCGACTGCCACCCAATGTCATCGTTGAGTATTTTTCTTCGCGGCCACCAGATTTGCCCCACTGGTCATGTCTTCTAACTGGAGCTTCGGGAATCATCTCTCGAAGCTAGTCACCAATGAGCTCTGGACCAACTGAATTTAGAGGTCTGTGTGGACTTAGAGATTTATATTTGGCTCAATGGTAACGAGCTGGCCATGGAACCTGAAGGTCGCGGGTCCAACCCCTGACGGGGTCGTGGGTGCGCACTCTTGAAGATTGCTATACTAGGACGAAACAGCTATCCAGTGCTCCCAGGTTTCCAATTTTCCTCTAACTGATATCAGTCCATGATGAATATCAACTTGAAAAATTCTACAATAATTTAATTAATGATACAGTGCAGTTCAGTTCAGTAGATCTCCACACTGATTTGGGGTTGATGAGCGCCTGTCTTGCTGTCTTTCCGATCTTGGCTTAGACTTCCTCATCTGTACCACCTGTATATACTCAGAAAGAATTACTGAATCTCCATTTCATCCTATTGTAATAGTCCTTGAATCCACCTTGTATTCAATATTTCAAACGAATATTGCTCAACTAGCAGTTGACAACCTCAGTTGTAACTAGGGATTACTTAAAATTGAAAAGTCGATTCATTGAAGTCGAATCGTATCGTTTTAGTCTGATATTTTGTTCATTAGATTCAATATCTCCCTGTCTCACTTCGAAATGCCTTTTTTTTTTTGTCAAACACTCCTCATTGATATGAAGAGAAGTATGTGAGAAGTGAATACAATAGCCAAGTTTTAATAGACAAAACGAAGTTATTTAAGCATTGAAGAGCTGCTCTATTTGTGGTGGATATTTGAAGTAATCAATAACTTGTGTTAATTGATTCCTTAGTAACCGATAAATTTGTTCTATAGGATTTCAGTCAGCTGATAGGTAAATAAAGAAATATTCAGTCACATATACACTATTAGTATTAGTATTACCGTTTCTGTTACCATCAGGCAGCTCAGACCAATGAAGCTAGTCACCGTAGAACTCCTGCACCGAAATTCTTCGCTTCTTATTACTACATTCCATCTCGTTATGAAGAGATGAAGTAAACAGAAGAAGTGATATTAAAGTTGACTAAAAGGGCATGAAACGAGAGAAAATAGATAAATCAGCTCTTAAGAAGTGTTCGAATGAGTATATCTGTTCCACTGAAATCTTTTTTGAGCCATATATCCATAAGCCTTTAATCATTGGTTGTTAATGTCTCGAACACCCCGACTAGATAGCCTACACCTTGGGATGCGGCAAAAACGAATAGTCGGAAATTTCATGGATTGATGTTGCCTCAGTATTACCACTCTTAGCTTTTTCTGTCTAATTCTAATTCAATTGACACTAGACGTTGAGATAGACAGTGGTTCAGCATGTTCAACTCATATCCAAGCTACCTCAATTGGTGCAAGTTTACAACTCTTTACCAACTGACTTACCTACCCTTCCTAGTTGGCAGTAGTTACAAAATGAGAGGTTGGAGGAGGCATAAGAGGCTTAATTTTAATTTTAGAAGGTGAAAGAAAAGGAGAATACAGAGTTGAGGAGTTTAGGATAAGCTTGATTGGGTCTAGCCTACTACTGGGAGCGTGCGGAAGGTTAGCACTTGCCGAGTGCCCCAGTTGTGGAAGGCTATTTCTTCTTAAGGTACCCGAAAGAGAAAAAGGTTTGTGTAACCTCAGACAGAGCCTATGAGACATCGATCACAAGTCTGTCACACACAAGCATCTGTGGGATATTGTTTTGAGGTTTGGTTGTTCTAACGCTGCATAGAGAGAACCCATACCGTCGGCACCGGAAGAACGTGGGGCATGGTGGGGAGTGTAGTTTTTAGCGCCAACCTTTCCAACGCCCCCGTACCATTGAGTAGGCAGTATCAGAATGGCACTGCTGATCATCTAAGGGAAACACTTCCCTTCTGTCACATCCCATCCTACTAGAAGCAGTAAACCTTTGACCCTCAGACCTCCATCATAATATAGTTATTTACACTACAGCAGTAACTGCTTTTCGTCTTACCACTATCTAATAGATCTTTCTGGCAAGGTAGAACGTTGAGGAAACAAGCGTTCCAGGTAGTGTAGCTTTTCGGGTCATTATGATATGCAAGCCACGAATAATACGTCAAGTTAGGAGCTATAGGCCCTTCCTAGTAATTTACGCCTAACCTAAACAGTTTCAGCTTCAATCAATCAATCAGTCATTATCAACATAAGACCAGGCATTACTGCGTAACGGTCCGAGTTGCCACACCTCATATCAGCACATCAAGTAGAAAGGTAATGAGGTGAAAAATGAAGATAAGAGAATGCAGTCAAAAGAAATATAAGGTACTAAAAGAGATAAACGAAGAATGAGAAAGTGGTGATATTCGGTATAGCGTCGTTAAGATGAGGATAACGTGTGTATACATCTGCGCCACTGACTTCGGTTCTGAGCCATATCACCTAGGGTCTCCAACCACTGGTTCCTCTTGTCCCGTGGACCCCAACCACCTAGTCTGCATCGTCCTACATGGCTTAAACCAACAGTCAGAGACTTCATACATTGGTGCCATGTTTTAGTCTGGCCACCTCGGGCCTTTTTCCAGCCTGGACCCACCTCAGCCAACATTGTGTGACGAGGCAATCGGTGACTAGGCATACGTAGTACGTGTCCCAACCATCTCAGTCGATGAAGGTTCACAACCTCGTCGACTGACTTACCTCTTCTCCCTAAAACTCTACACCTAACTTCTGCATTACTCACATGGTGACACCACGGAATACGTCCTATACTACGAAGGCAACGGTGGTCAAACACCTGAAGCCTTTTTATATCTTCCACTTTCAATGGCCATGTTTCACAGCCATACAGTAGAACAGAGCGGACTGCTGTGCAGTACACGCGACCCTTAATAGACAAACGAATATCACGGCGGCGCCATAGGTGGCGCAAATTGGCAAAAGCCAATCGAGCCTTTTGTATCCGTGCAGAAATCTCATCGGCAACTAACCCACCGGGTTGATCCTACTTCCCAGGTAAGTGAAGTGGTCAACACACTCAACCACTTCACTCTCTATTGTTAACCGCGGTACCGCTGAAGACCAGTCCTGGAGCAAAAATTTGCATTTGGGTGGTGAAAATCGCATCCCAAACATTCTCAAATTCCCACTCAAAGTGTTCAGAAGACTCTGCATCTTGTCAGCGTCTTCACCTAACAGGACTATGTCATCTGCATATTCTAGATCTAAGGAAAATTCACCTGTGATTCGGTCAACGTCTTTGTAATTAGGTGACGAGAGGGAAACCTCCATAAGAATATCTATGATAAAATTAAATAAGAATGGGGATAGTGGGCATCCTTGACGGACACCACTTGATGAGTATAGCTCCCTGGACAACTCACCATAGGCTCTAACATGCCCACAAGTGTTCGAGTAGAGAGCTTTCAATAAGGTGATGTACTTACTAGGCACGCCTTTCAGTGACAGACACTGCCATAAGACTTCTCGATCAACGGAGTCAAATGCCGCCTTCAGGTCGAGAAATACAGCTATTGTCGGGCGTCTGTAAGCATGCCTATGTTCCAGGACCTGGCGCAGTGTGAATATTTGGTCGATACATCCACGGCCAGGTCTAAAGCCTGCCTGGTTTTCTCGGGCTTGCTGTTCCCGAGCTCCACTCAGGCGTCGGAGAATTATAGAACTTAGGATCTTAGACACTATGTTTGTCAGGCTGATTCCTCTGTGGTTATCACAAGAGGACTTCTCGCCTTTCTTGAAGACTGGGATGATGAGTGACTTAGACCAGTCGGAGGGGATCGTATTTGATTCCCATATACTGGCTAACACTTCCGTTAGCCTGACTAAGAGAACTCTACCACCATTCTTGTATACCTCAGCAGGTAGTCCGTCTGGTCCTGCTGCCCTTCTTCGTTTCAGGCTACCTACCGCTTTCTCAACTTCTTCTAGTGTTGGGGGACCTGTCTCTATGTCCCATTCAGGGTCCGACTGGATAGCGGGCAGCGCAATGGTGGCTGGAGGCCAGTTAAACTGTTCCTCAAAGTGTTCTGCCCATCGTTCCAGTCGCCTCCCCTGCGAGTGAATCGCCGATCCTTCCTCCGCTATAACCTCACTAACTGTTGTTGACCATTTCCCCCCAGTCTCCTTAATAAGTCTAAATAACTGTCTACTGTTACCGATCGCCGCTGCCTTTTCCATCTCTTTAGCCTTTGCTGCCCACCACTGTTCACGATCGTTGCGCAGACTTTTCGTCAGTTATTTTTAAGTTGCGCTCGCTCTTCATTGTACTCAGAGCCTGCAGGGATGCATTCACGTGCATCCATTAGTTTGGAAGAAGCTGCTGATATCCACTGGCTCTTTTTAGCCATTATCTTGGAGTCGGCTACAGTCTCCAGTGCTGCTTTTACAGTAGACTGAAGATGGCACCAAGCTTCTTCTGGATGAGTGACAGTCTTTTGTTCCGATAACTGCCTAGCCAACTTCTCACTGAACACGGCTTTGGTGTTTTCGTTGTCCAGCAGAACTCGTAGTGGTTTTGTTGCCAAATTTTTTCTACGTCCATTGAGACGCAGGCATATACGTGCTCGGACCAACGCATGATCGCTGTCCAAACACGTACTCCAGAAGGAGCGGCAGTCTTCCACCGATCCTCTCCAGCGATGACTAATAGCAATGTGGTCTATCTGTGTCCATCGCTGAGTCGAGCTCGGTGGACGCCAGGTCAGACAGTGCCTTTCTTTATGTCTGAAATTTGTGCTGGCTAAAAATAGGCGGTTATCTGAGCATAGTTGTAATAGGCGATCACCGTTATCTGTACGTTCAGCTGGGATTCCGAAAGTGCCACCTAAGTGCCTTTCTGCCTCACTCAGTCTACCCACCTGTGCGTTGAGGTCACCTGCAACATCGAGAGGAGGTTAGACAGTTTATGGTAGAACTCGTCCTTCACTTCATCCGAACTACAGTCAGTGGGTGCGTAAGCAGAGATTACAAAGAGACAACGGCGAGTCTCACTATTCCTTTTAGTTCTCACTGTGCCGTTCAGCCTCATAGCGCAGAGGCGACTATCAACTGGGATCCAGTCTAGTAGTGAGTTTTCTGCCCTGGTGCTTAATGCTATACCTACACCTGCAAGACCACGAGAGCTAGCTATCGAATCTCCAGAAACTCGAAGGGTGAATTTTGCAGATTCACCAGATTGGTCAGGAGAGGTCAGGTGAATAACCACACTTGGGTCCTGTATGCGTGTCTCACAAACACAGCACACATCCATGCCCGAGTTGCTAGAGTCTTTGCCAACGAAGCCTGTTGGCCAATTTGACGGAGGGTGCGGACATTGAAGGCTCCAATATGTAATTTGGAGCGTGGTTTAAGGAGACCAGGGATGCTGTTCTGTGGACTCAGATCGTTGTCGAAGGCTGCAGAGGTAGGAGAAATTGAAGATGATGCAGCATCATTAATTAAGAGACGTGAAGGAAGATTAGAAGGTAATGATGGAGGAGGAGGATAGCAGTCAGAAGAAACTTGGGTGCTGACAGAGTTGTGAGGGCGGTTGACACTTCCCGGCTGCCCACACCGTGGAAGGCTATTTCTTCTTAAGGTACCTGAAAGAGATTTGTGTGACCGCAGAGCCCATCGGACATCTGCTTGAGGCCTGTCACACCCAGCCTTTTGAGTATGATTATTTTGAATTTTTGTATTTTTGGGGCCGGATGGTCGAAAGGAAACGACAAGTGAACCAACACCGCCGGCCCGGCAGACCGTGGGGCGTGGTGGAGTGTGTTATTTTTGGGGCCGACCTTTTCTAACCCCCCCTTCCACTGAGAAGGCAGCATCAGCATGGCACTGCTGGTCATCCAAGGGAAACACCTTACTGCTGTCACACCCCATCCAGCTAGCAGCAGTACGACTTCGCCCTCAGACCCCCATCATAGTGTAGCAATTTACACTAAACGGTAACTGCTTTTCGTCTAACCACTACCCAACAGACCTTTCTGGTATGGTAGGACCTCGAGGGAACAAGCGTTCCACCAGCATAGCTCGTTGGGTCATTGTGATATGCAAGCCCGACCACCACGTCAAGGTAGCAGCTATTGGTCGGGACAGTTTCCGCTTGCCGGTTTCATAACATGTAAACAGTTCTATGGAGACAATTATGATAAAGGATATGTAGCTTTCTCTCTTTCTCTACTTTCTACAACTATGTATCATGTTCATACAAAACCTCCCTTCAAAGTTTCAAAGTTTCGAATTCCAAAAGGATTAGTAGTGTCATTCTCAGAACTGTATTTTATATAATTTTGAATTCTCCTAAATCTGACTAAATAATCTCCAAGAACTCAAGTTGCCGCTGCATATAATCCGTTTGTATGTCACCTTCAAAACTGTATGCCTGTATATAGCATTCATTACAATGAAATCTGCCATTTATACTGGGTGATGATTGAAGATGAGATAAAAATCTGAACTGCAGCCAGATTCGAACCAGCGACGACTGGGTAGAAATGACCACCGAATATTAATCTCTTTGCAAACCGTTTTCTGTCAATCAGATATACTAATTCCATCTCTATATTCTAAGAGAGTAATGTACTCACCTTTTTTTCCTATGTCTTTTGGGAGAATATTTGATGTATTGTGGAAAGATGTCATCATAAGCGAGTTGTTGATTTCAACAACTGCATGCAGTAGCATATTTTCTTCTCTTCTTTTTAAAATTTATTTTATTTTTTCAGGTTCCGTACTTTTTGCATTCAAAGATGTTATCACTATGAAATCAGTTGTGAATGCTTTGCCTGAGGTGGGTATAGGCACAAGATATGGTCTACCTGCATCCAGATCATCAACATTAGCTACACCTAGTCGAATATTCCAACTATCCAATATGACACAACGTTGGCAACGTCGTGAATTATCAAATTTTGATTATCTTATGTACTTGAATACAATAGCTGGTCGTAGTTATAATGACTTGAATCAATACCCAATATTCCCTTGGGTTATATCTAATTATGAGGTAAAAGAGTTGGATTTATCCTCACCATCGAATTATCGAGATTTATCTAAGCCAATTGGTGCTATTAATCCTAAACGTAAAGCATTCTTTGATGAACGTTATAATAACTGGGAGGATGAAAGTCGACCACCGTTTCACTATGGTACTCATTACAGTACAGCCGCATTTGTACTGAATTATTTACTACGCGTTGAACCGTTCACCACAGTATTCCTTAATCTACAGGTATATCTATTTAAATGTTTTTCTATTCCTTTGTGCATCAATAATGTATCATTAATTAAATTATTGTAGAATTTTTCAAGTTGATATTCATCATGGACTGATATCAGTTAGAGGAAAATTGGAAACCTGGGAGCACTGGATAGCTGTTTCGTCCTAGTATAGCAATCTTCAAGAGTGCGCACCCACGACCCCGTCAGGGGTTGGACCCGCGACCTTCAGGTTCCATGGCCAGCTCGTTACCATTGAGCCAAATATAAATCTCTAAGTCCACACAGACCTCTAAATTCAGTTGGTCCAGAGCTCATTGGTGACTAGCTTCGAGAGATGATTCCCGAAGCTCCAGTTAGAAGACATGACCAGTGGGGCAAATCTGGTGGCCGCGAAGAAAAATACTCAACGATGACATTGGGTGGCAGTCGCGCTACGTCATGGACTGACCATTGGGTCCTGACTCAGTGGCTCAATGGTAACGTGCTGGCCACAGAACCTGAAGGTCGCGGGTTCAACCCCTGGTGGGATCGTGGGTGCGCACTGCTTAAGAGTTCTATACTCGAAAAAAACAGCTGTGCAGTGCTCCAAGGTTCCCAGTGTTCCTCTAACTGATGCCAGTTCATGATGAACACCAGCTTGAAAAATCTCTAGATCCCCACAAACCCCCAAATTCTATTGTAGAATTGCCAGTAATCATTGAGGGGAATATTGAGTTTAAGAATTCATGTTTTCTAAAGCAATCTTCCTACAAAAGTTTTCTACAAATTAAAGATAGCTGAAAATTGATTGAAAACTTTTCTGTGCTACGGCTAGCGAAGTAACTTTGAGTTATTGTTTTGATACTTTTAATTTCCAATCGCTGTACAGGACCTAATTGTTTGATATCTGTTAGCAGATAAGTTCCTACGCGGACCCCATGGTACTGCTGGATATTATTCAAGATGTCATATTCATCTTAGTGACTAACAGTGGAATATCCGGCAGTATCGGAGCATCCACATATGAGCCTATCTGCTGATAGAGGTCGACCAATTCGACCCTGCATAGCAACGGGGAGTTACAAGTATGAAACTGCGACGAGTGATACACGTTGCACGAGTGGTGGTTATCGTGCCCCAGTGGCCTAGTCAACAAAGCTTTGGCGTTTAAAGGGATGGATACTGTGTTCGAGTCTCAGTGGGGATAATATCACTTACTGCAGTGCAGGTACCTCCAGTTAACGAGTCGCAAATAAGAGGAGACGCGCTTCCTGGATTCCACTGAGAGTCAACAAGATGAAGAATATTAGTCTGAGTTATTTAAGTTGTAATTTATTTGGTTGTGCTATAATAACTATCATTATTAGTATCGGTTATCTTACTGTCCAGCTTCAGTTTGCGCATACTGACTGCGTGACATAGGAAGTAAGAACAAGGAGAACTCGTTTACTGTCGGTAAATAACAGTTCCTGGGGTTTTGGCCGTGTGATAACGCGATCATTTTACTGCTTAACATAGTTGACTGGAAACCGCTCATTACGAATTAGTACTATTTCCTAATCTAGTTGAATTGATCTAAACGCCTTGAACCATAACTATGTCGGGCAGAAAGAGGGGGGTGACGGTAATGCAGAACCAAACTATAAATTTGTGAAGTAGGCAACCAGGGGCATAGTTTCAACTTTGAACGTTGGCGGACCGTTATTTTTAAAGTATGAATTGGGTTTTGTGCTGTTAGTTAACCAGTTTATTGCTGAAATGTCATTCACTGCTTACTAGCTTGTATTTAATTTAAGCTTTGTGTGTTAAGAAGAAGAATTGACGACATAATGGATAATGCTTTTTCAAGTTTCAAAATTGTTCCACTCAAATTCTGCCTTGATCTCCTCATTCTATGAGAGGTGCTTTCGAGTTGAACTGTGAATAAATTGAATATTATTTTGTTGCAAGTAAATGATCTTTAAGGAATTATCTTATCTGGAATATAATAGGATAATTTTGTAAAAAGGTATCTGTTTTTATGTCTCTTTTTTTATCCATTGTTCTCTTGCCTTCTTTGTCTCTATATATATATTTGTTCGAAAGGGTGGTAAATTTGATCATCCTGACAGAGTATTCTTTTCTGTTGCAAAAACTTGGGAGAATTGTCAAATTAATACATCAGATGTAAAAGAACTAATCCCGGAATTTTTCTACTTTCCTGAAATGTTTGAAAATTTAAATGATTTAGACTTGGGTATTACAGATGATGGAATTCATGTAAACACTGTGATACTTCCTCCATGGGCAAAAACATCTGAAGAATTTGTACGAATTAATCGTGAGGTAAAGTCGTTGTTTTTTTTGGATGGAGATTTTTTTTAAAAAATTTTCGATATTATCTGTATTATATAGCCTTCTCTCAAGGTGTTCTAGTTGACACATCTTCAACACATATTTAGTCAATGATTGATGTACACTTGAAATGTGGTCATAAGTTAGATCCTTGTAATTCAGTCGATTAAACACTGAACTCAGAAAATGCTTGTTCGAATTTTGCCGCAACCCTAAGATTTCTTTCAATTTCAATCGTCTTATATTATTACACATTACGTCCATCTTAATGGTCATACTGAATCCAGTGTTTTCTCACTCCTCTTTGTTCTTTTCTACAGCTTTTGACTGGTTCTCCCCTTTTTTCATATTTCACCTTGCTCCTTTGTTACTTGGTGTGCTGATATGAGGTGTAACAGCTCGAACTGTTATGTCTGGTCCTATGGTGATATTGACAACGATAATGTATACATATTTATATGTGATGTATGTATCACGCTACTAATCATTCTACTTTGACGGTGTAGGACAGAAGACCAGTGAGGATAGACAGAATACTTTATAGGGCAAATTCTCTAATAGCAAAATGATAAATCCTAATTCAATTTGGTGGTTTGTGGGGATTTATTGATTTCAAGTTGGTAATCATCGTAGGCTGACGTCATTTGAGGGAATATTGGAAACCTGGGAGCACCGGGCGGCTGTTTTGTCCTCATGCTGGCCATGGAAACTTAAGATCCTGTGTTTGACCCCTGGCGGGGTCATGGGTGCATACTGCTAAGGAGTCCCATTCTAGGACAAAATAGCTCTTCAGCGCTTCCAAATTTCTAATTTTCCTCCAACTGATGTCAGTCCATGATGAATACCAGCTAGAAATCAATAACTCTTAATGTTCAAAGCAGTTCATACAAGTCACATCTGCATTCTACTTTCGAAATGAATTCTCCCGTTTCCCTTGCTTATTTGCTTGGCGTTTCTACTTCCTTCCTTTCTCGTTTCTTGCTCCAAGACATTTACTGGTTGAATGCTCATTCTTCTCGCTTTTCTCAGCTGCATTATGCTACATATTACTTACATGCATCGGTATAAATGGCACATATCAGAGTACAAGAAAACATTAAGATCAGTAATGCATCTTGTAGTCTCAAAACATTTCTGAAATCCTTTCAAAAGGTTAGAATGAACATGTAATCTTCTATAGACTTATATATATACTTGTTAACTTAAGCATGTAATTTTTTCTGGAGCTGTGAGGTCGGGAGGAGGACAACAAGCGGAAATCAGTGTAGAAGAAGGGACTGTTTAAGAGCCGATAGGTTACGTAGTCACATGAAAAGCTGGGAAATTGTCAAGTGATTAACAGTCAGTAAGTAATGAAGAGATGATGCAATCAAAAGAAAAGGAAAGACTGCATACACACATGCGAAAAATTATATAGTTACCAAGGTAAGGGAAGGTTAATTACAGTTTCCTTCTTAGTACATAAGATCAGGTTGAAAATGTTTGATAGCAAGAGCTTCCACAAATCGTAATAAATATGGTGTTCTTTGTTTGTTGATTATCCTGAAGGATTAGGAAACATCTATTTGATGTCTTGTTTCCATCAGATGCTTGGCGTTTGCCCTCTTAAAGACCTTGCTTTCATTCAGACAGATTTCTCTGAATATGCTCATAAAATCGATTGGACACCCTTCTTTCAGTCCTTCCTATGTACTTGCTTCCACAAGCACAAGTGGATTGATATACGCAATTAGAAGTGATATGAGATGGGTATGTATCCACTTTTGACTGTGTTACTGAGATCAGTCTGGCAGTAGGGAAGCTCCTTCTCAGTGCAGCTTTTATTCTTCTATCTATTCTCTCAGATGTCTCATCACCTTCTCAATTATACCGAGTTCTTCTTGTTCATCTTTCGAGCACAGCATTTTTATTCCGGTGAGTGTCGTCCTGACTAAACCACGCTTATAGTTGACAGGACAGAAACTATTATAGTGAAGGCACCAATCCACATGTCTTTTCGGTGGATAGTTTTCTCAACTGTACCTTTATATATTTAAAGTACATCATGCCATTATTACTAGTAATACTTCATTTCAATTGTAGGCTGCAGCTGATAAAAGACCATGAAATAAAATGAGCTCATCTTATTTTGCAAATGTCTTTGATCTTGCATTGTTCAAATTTGTCATAGAGACTAAATGTATGACAGTTTTTAAAGTGTTCAATCGTCTGTAGATAGATATATACTGTGTAATGTAATTAAACTTCTCTTTCTCCTTCACCATCTTTTAAAGGCATTGGAATCTGAATTAGTCTCATGTCAGTTACATCATTGGATCGATTTAATATTCGGTTATAAACAACGTGGTCCTGAAGCTGTTCGTGCCACCAATGTGTTTCATTATTTAACCTACGATGGAAGCGTTGATTGGGATAAGGTGAGTTATTATTATCATTATTATTATTATTAATATTTGCTCCCTTATAACAGCCTATTCATCTGAAGTATTCAGAAAGCAAACTGTTTCCTTTCTTTTTCTCCCTCCATGGATTTGTGTTTCGAATGTACATTGTCATGATTTGAGTGTATTAGAGTGCTTGTACACAATTGTTGATTTCTCGAGTTGATCAACCGTAGACTTAATCAATTTTTATATATTTCATTTGGTAAAATAGAAGATAATTAAAGGTGATTACATTAATTTAATTAGATGACTGAATAATTTTGCTGATAAGCAATAGTGTTTATGGAAGTTAATCTGTTCTACTGTTTACTTAGTATCTTCATAATATATGCAAACACGGGGACTAACGCTTTTGTCGTATAGACTTGTATGTGTATAACGACTACACACACACACCTATGTGTAAACAAGCAACTTGTTATTACTGATAAAATCTGAACATCTTTGAGTAAGCTTACTCGCTGCCATGTTCACATCTCACCAATTTATTTACACTATGATTACTTTAAATAACAAGGTAGTACCAGAATTTGCTTAAAGTATACAGCTTGTGTTATGTACCTATATTGAACAGTTGATATATTCTTCTTTACCTCTTTTCAAGTAATGCATTGTATATTATAAGAAGTGATATTTCCCTTAGAAATTAGGAGACAAAGAAACGATTCCTGATGCATTTTCTTCACCTATACATTTTTTGAAAATTATGTACTGAAAAAATAGCGTTTACATAAATTGTCTCATTGAAATCAAATTGATATTGTCTGAATCCACTATTGTATCATCATCTTACCAAGTACATTCTTAAAAATGTCTACTTTAGATAGTCGACTTATTGTTTAAACGTGTATATCTTGCTAATCAAACTAATTCTGACAACCATTACATTTGTATTGAGAAGTGAGAACTTATGTTTTTGTATTTAGGATGTCCTAGTTACATTGGTTACCCCCAACTAATGAAAACAATCTAACTGTTATGCTAAAGTCATACTAACTAAAGGCAGGTATACAAATGTTTCAATTCTGTTCATTCCGTTGTCTCCAACTATCATCATCATCATCAATAATAATAATAATAATAATAATAATAATAATAATAATAATAATAATAATAATAATGACAGTATTGGAACACTAGAAAAACTCTCTTCCCGATCAAGTGTATGAACCTACTTTTATCGCATGTGTTAAACAGCTGAAATCAACATAGGACCTAACATAACTACAGAATGGTCCAATTCTCCACACTTCATATCACCACATCAAGTGGGAATACTGTAAGACGCAAAATCAAGAGATAAAAAAGGAACCGGTTAAAAGTGGTATAAAGTTATCAAAAGAGGGCAAGAAAGAATAAATAAATAAATAAAAGATGACTAAGATGAAGTTAACGTGCTGATACATCTGTACCAATGAGATCGATTCTGAACCATTTCACCTAGAGCCTTTAACGACTGGTTTCCAATGTCACGTAGACCCTAACCCCAGGGACGGTCACATGAGAATAGTCAAGGACTTCATGGGCTGATGCCATGTTTTGATCTGGCCGCCCCTGACCACTTTCCATTTTAAACCTACATCACCTAATGATGCGTGACGAAGCAGATGGTGATAAGGGATGCCCAACTTATGTTCCAGCCACCTGGGTCGATGAAGGCTCACATTCTCACTAACTAACTTTCCTCTTCTCCCCAAAACTCTACACTTCTGTATTACCCATTTGGTGACATTATGACATACGACCTATCCTATGAAGGCAACAACAGTCGAATGCCGGAAGCTTTTTCATGTCCTTTACCTACCATGTTTCACAGCCACATACTGGGATAAAGGGAAGTGCAGCGCATTCCACTCAGAACTGAATAAACAATTGGATACCATAACGGCACCGCAGATAGCGTAAGCTAGTGAAAACCAATCGAGCATTTTGTATCTGCCTAGAGATTCGACCGGTCATTGAGCCACCAGGCTTGATTTGGCTTCCTAGGTAAGCGATATGGTCAATGCAGCCACCCACTTGACTCCCTATTGTTAAGGCATCACTTAAGACCGGTGATGTAGCGCCAATTGATATTTGGGTGGTGAGGAACGGATTCAAAATGTTCTGAAAGTTCCACTTAAGATGTTCTGAAGACTGGATCTTGTCGGCGTCTTCACCTAATAGGACTGTTTTCTGTGTACTCTAAATCGACTAGGGAGTCTCCTTTGATGAGATCAATCCCTGCGAAGTCAAACGACGAGGGTCAGACCTACATAAGTATGTCTGTGATGAGGTTGATTAAGAATGGAGGGAGTGGACATTTTTAAAAGACACCACTCGACGTACACAACCCACCTGATAACTCTTAATACGCCTACGGGTATTCGAATACAGAGTATTTAAAAGAGTGATGTACTTATTCGGTACTCCTTTCAGTGAGAGACACCGTCATACTATTTTTCGATGGAGGAGGTGCAATGCCACTTTCAAGTCAAGAAATACAGTTAGTGTCTAGTATCGGTAAGTTTGCCTGTGTCCCAAAATCTGACGGAGTGTGAATATCTGGTCGATACATCCACGATCTGCTATGAAGCCTACCTGATGTTCCCCGAGTTGCACTCATACGTTTCATGATCAAAGAACCTAGAGTTACGAGGCTGATTCCCCTGTGGTGGTTATCAGAAGAGAGCCTCTCGACCTTCCTGAAGACTGGGATAATTATTGATTGGGACCGAAAGAAAAGTCGGAACACATTCAGCAGCCTTGTGCACATTCGTGTGGTAGACAATGAGCTACATGTATTGTGTGAGGGCTAGCTGCTTAAACTTTGGTAAGTGGAGTGGTATCTGAACCCGTGACCTATTGTTTAAAAGTCAACTCCCTAAACCGATGAGACACAACTCTCCTGTGATTGGGACTAACCAGTACTCTCATATTTGACTCCCATACACTAGCTGACACTTCAGTTAACGTAGTGATGCGCGACCACCAGTCTTAAATATCTCAGGTACCGATTCATTGGTCCCGATCCCGTTCCTCGTTTCAGATTACCTACAACTTTCTTGACTGTACAAGAATTGGAGGCCGTATCTCAATATTTCATTGGGTATCCTACTGGAAAGCGGTGAAGGAAATTGTAGCTGGAGACCAATTGAATTATTTTTCGAAATGTCCCACCCATGGTTCCAGTGAACGGTAGACCATTGACATTTTTACACCGGTTACCTTGATAAGTCTAAATAACTCCCTGATGTTACTCATCGCTGCTATCTTTCCTATATCTTGAGCCTTAACTGCCCACCGCTGCTAGTAGTCATTGCGTAGACTTCTTGTTAGTCTACATTTGAGTTTCTTCCGCCGAAACATAGTCCATATATTCTCATGTGTTTTTTTTGCTTTTTTTACTACTTGTTTGTTTTTCTCTGTCTCTCACTTTATTAGATCACTGATCCATTGTTAATTAAAGCTGTTGAAGATCAAATTCAAAGTTTTGGTCAAACACCGGGTCAATTACTAACAACACCACATGTTCGTAGAAATTCAGCTCTTTATCATAATCCAGAGATTTTCAATCTTCTCAATGAAGAATTTTGCATGAATTTAAAATTTCAATCTAATTCACCAGTTGTACATTTGTTCAGTAATACATCAGTGAAAGCTTTACCTTTTCCGACTGTAATTGCTATCACGGAAAACAGAATAATAGTTGTATGTAAATGGAATAGTTTAGCTGCTGGTAAGTTATTACTCATATATCTCTTTTCGTCTTTTAACTGGAGTACACATATATATTAATATCTGATACAAAAATAAACCTGTCCTGTCTGGTAACTGTCTGGCAGACAGGTAGAAGATATAACTGGTTACACTCTCTAGACTTACACACAAACATCTGCAGAATTGTTAGAGGAGATTAAGAATGAATGGAAGTGAACATGTTCATCATAAGACCTGAAAGTCTTAAACTTGATAATGCATAAAATGATTGTAACTAAACTACTTGGTATAGGCTTCTTTTATTAAGTTCTGAGGCATACTTTTTAATTGATGGTTCACAGTACTATCTAGTTTACCTAGCTGTCAAGTAAGGTAGAGTCAGATTTGAACTTAGAATTTATTTTGATGATGGACGATGGCTAACAGTGGAATCTAGGACGAGCATTTCGTCCTGTTTAGGATTTGTCAGCTGGGTGTACCTACCTCTCAGTGAGCAATGTTGTTTCCACTCAGACTTGGACCAGGGAACGATCGCATCAAATCCCAAAGCGTTATTCACTAGGCCATCGAGTCATGATAGCCACTTAAGATAATGAGATACACCTCCAGAGAAACCTAGTGGGTATACAGCCTGAACAGTCTAAAATTAGAAGACTTTCGTTTTAGTATCCGTATGTAGTTAGTTTGTAGCATTATAAACCGCTACGTTCGTTTTTGAAGTATTCATATATTCATTGTATATGATGTATTTTTACTTGTGTAATCCTGGCGTAGTATATTAGAACAAATAACAAAATAAACAAATATTTTGTATTATTCTTCAACGTTTCGATCTTGCTAGGAACATCCTTTTCAAGAGTAGAAATCTGACACTAAGTTTTCAGGTTAATATTCAAGTTTTGGTACAGAAAGTGGTGACCTTTACAATCATCCAATTACATAATGATACGGAGCAAAGATCAATGTAATACAGGTGAGTGAATAAGCAACTCGGTCAACCTTTCAAAGTACTTCACAAAAATCCTTAAACCGTTACAAGACAATTAGGTAAGTATCATTAAAAATTCATGAGACTTCAAACATAAATTATTACAAACAACGATTGGAGATGATGAAACAATGGTTAGCTTTGACGTTGTTTCTCTGTATACAAATATTCCGATTGATGAAAGCATACAAGTTGTTGGATTTTTATTAGAGTCAGATACTTCTTTATCTCTTAGATGTAATATTTCCATCAGTGAAATCTGTGATGCACTGAGATTATGTCTGACCTCAACCTATTTTACTTTTCGAAGGGACCTTCATCGTCAAACCAGTGGGGTAGCAATTAGTTCACCTGTCTCACCCATTGTGGCTAATCTATGCATGCACAAAGTAGAATCAGACCTACTTAACCAACATAATTTAAAACCAAGAGTATGGTGGAGGTATGTTGATGACACCTTCGTCATAACCAAAAAGCAAGGATTAGAAAGTCTTTTTGAATACCTAAACAACCGTTTCAATTCTGTAAAATTCACATGTGAACTAGAAACAGAATTCAGAACGTTAGCTTTCCTAGACTGCAAGGCGATATGAAACAGTGATGGGACACTTGACATTGATGTCTATCGAAAAGATACACATTCTAACAAGTACCTCGACTTCGATTCGGCTCATCCATTGGAAACTAAATTAAACGTTGCCAAAAATCTGTCGACGAGATCGCAAAGGATACCAAATAAAGTGGAATCTCAGCAAGCAGATAGGCGACTTGTTCGGGAAGTCTTAAGACAAAATAACTATCCAGACAAACTATTAAAAAGGATCGAAAAAAGTTTATCGAATAAAAATATGAAAAAGTCAAGCCATAAATATTGGATAAGTACTGTAGTACTTCCTTATCAAACATCCACTTCAGAGGAAATAAGACGTATCCTTAACAGTTACAACATCAGAGTATTCTTTAAGGTGACGAATACATTACACTCACACCTGTGTAAATTAAAAGATCCGATTCCTCATTTGGAACAACAAAACTGTGTTTATAAGGTAGACTGCAGTGAATGGGATGCCACATACATTGGAGAGACATCACGTCAAGTACTAACACGTCTAGCCGAACACGATAGAAGTTCCAAAAAACCACCAAAAAATTCCTATGATCTAGAAAAACTTAAAAAAAGCTCTGCTATCGCAGCTCATGTCCTATATTCAGGTCATAAAATATCATTCGAACAGACAAAAGTTCTGCAGAAGGGTTTTCTCTCTCACAAAGAGCGGACCATTGCAGAAGCTTTGCATATCTGCTAACATCCTTTCTCGGTCAACAGAAAAGATGGGTTAGACATCCCACTAATTTATTATTATTATTATTATTATTATTATTATTATTATTAGTTCCTTGAGTTCCTAGTGGAACATAGGGTTTCAGTAGCACGTCTCCAGTGACCTCTTTTCTCTGAGATCTTTTGAACCTGGTTCCACGACAGCCCAGAAGCTCTCATTTCCTCCTCGCACGACCTCCTCCATGTCACCCTCACCTCGGACGTCCAACTCGTCGCTTCCCATGGGGATTCCACTCGAGTGACTGGCCTGTCGCGTGATGTCCTCAGTCGGCCTTCTCAGTGCATGGCCAATCCATCTCCACTTCCTACTGCATATTTGTTGGGTGATAGGTTCTTGGTTGGTTCGTTCCCAGAGCTCCTTGTTGCTTATTCTTTCTGGCCATCTGATCTTCAGTAGCGAGCAGCGTAAGCAGTTGTTGATGAATGTCTGTAGTTTATTGAAAATACCTTTCGTAACGCGCCAAGTCTCTGAGCCATACAGAAGCACTGACTTGACGTTGGTGTTGAAAATCCTGATCTTATTCACGCTTTGTGCTGAGTGCAGAAGATCTCCACACTGCTTTCAGGCTAATGAACACCTGTCTTGCTTTTCCGATTCTAACTTTGACGTCCTCGTCCGTCCCGCCTGTAGTTGAAACAGTGCTTCCTAGATAAGTGAAGGAGGTTACTTCCTTTAAGTTTCTCCCGTTGACGGTGATTGGAATTTGTTGTTGTTGTTGTTGGTTAGGTATCTTCATCACTTCTGTCTTCTCTATATTCACCTGAAGTCCCATCTTCGCTGCCCTGCCTCTTCTATCAACTTGTTAGTTTTCGCCAGTAGATCTTCAAGTTTATGTGACATCAGGCACAAGTCATCGTTGGCGAAATCCAGTCTTCTAGGTTCTTTTCCCTAGTCCAGTGTATCCCCCTCTTCTCGCTGCCTACTGTTTGCTGCATGATCCAGTCCACCACAATAAGGAATATCATGGGGGATAGTAGGCAACCTTGTTTCACTCCTGTCTTCACTTCAAAATCATCACTGGGCTTCCCATTGTGAATTACTTGGCATGTGGCATCTTCATATAGTTGTTGAATGAAGCTGATAAAGGTATGTGGTATTCCGTAGCATTGAAGCAGTTTCCAAATTACCTCTCGGTCGACGCTGTCAAAGGCCTTCTCAAAGTCGATGAAGTTGAGGTAGAGAGCTGATTGCCATTCTATGCTCTGTTCTATGATGATGCGAAGCGTTGCATTTTGGTCTGCACATGATTTGTACTTCCTGAAGCCTGCTTGTTCCGGTCGTAGTTTTGAATCCAGTGCATCTTTAAGCCTCTCCAGGATGATGCGGCTTAATATTTTACTTGGTGTGGATAGGAGAGTGATTCCGCGCCAGTTCTTGCAAACACTGAGGTCTCCCTTCTTCGGCAGTTTGACAAGGTAACCCTTCTTCCAATCGTCAGGTACCTTCTCTTCCTTCCACACCTTCTGCAATAGTGGTGTGGTGTGAGCATGTCCGCTGTTGTCTCTGCATCTGTTCTCAGTGCTTCTGGCGGTATCCCATCTGGTCCTGCTTCTTTCCCGCATTTCAGTAGCTTTATGGAGTTCAGGACTTCCATTTTCGTTGGAGGATTTATGTTCACTTGTAATTCAGCGGCTGCAGGTGGTATTTCTGGACGAAGTGCAGGTGGTGGTGGTGGTCGATTCTAGAGCTTCTTGAAGTGGTCAGCCCATTGTTTCCTCTGTTTCTCTTCTTTCGTAATTAAATTTCCCTCTTCATCTTTTATTGGTTTCATCTGTGTTGATCTCTTCCCAGATGGATAGCAACCTGGTTATTTGATACAATGTTGTCAGGTCTCTCCTACCTGCAGCCTGTTCTGCTTCACTTGCCAGTGTTTCGTAGAAGTGTCTTTTGTCTTTGCGTGCACTCTTCTTCACTTCTTTGTCCAGTGTAGTGTTTTATACATTGTGCTCAGTTCCTCTTGTCGTTGAGCATCCTTGCACTGGTTTATCTTCTGTTTCACCATCCTCCTCTCCTCCATCAGCTTTCATGTATCCATTGAGATACATTCCTTGTCTCATCTCTTCTTCTTCCTTCCTAATACGGCTGTGCAGGTTTCTTTCCACATAGCTTCCAAAGACTTCCAGTGTTCTTCCACACAGGTTTCTTCAGGGATGTTGCTTGATATCTCCCATTTTGTCTTGATGGCTGACTGACGTGAAGATTTCCTTTGTAGTTTCATCCTTCAGTTTCCGAGTGTTGTACTTGAATTGAGGTCTATCACCAGCTTCCTTGAAGGCTTTTAACTTGATTTGGAAGGTTCCTTGCACTAGACAGTGAGTGGTGTGAACCTACATCTGCTCCTCTTCTTGATCTGAACTTGTGTTCAGTAGACTGCATCTCCATCTTCTTGAGATTGAGATAAAGTCAATTTGATTTTTAGTGTGTCCATCTGGTGAAATCCATGTCGCTTTGTGGATATCTTTGTGCCTGAACACACTGCCTCCAATCACCAAATCGTTGAATGCGCAGAATTCTGCAAACAATTCTCCATTCTCATTCATTTCACCTAGCGCTTCTCGACCCATGGTTAGTTCTCTTCCTGTGTTGTCAGCTCCCAGTTTGGCATTCATGTCGCCCATTAGAATTTTGATATCGCCAACTGACGTCTTGTCCAGTGTTGATTGAAGTTGTCTGTAGAATTCCTCCTTTTTCTCTTGCTCTGCATTATTTGTAGGTGCATAAGCATTGTATGATTGTGACCTTCCTTCCTTTTGAGTTGAATCTTGCTGTCATGATCCTGGAGGAGATTGGTTCCCACTGCATGAGAGCCTTCGATGCTGATGGGGACATCATGATAGCCACTCCCTCAGTGTGCTCGTGGTTGGCGTCTGGGTGACAATCGGAGTAGATTATTGATTCTCCAGTTGACAGTTTGGAGAGTCCACTTCCATTCCATCTGCTTTCGCAAATCCCAAGCACTTCGATGTGATATCTTCTCATCTCCTTTGCAATCTGGGCTGCCTTACTGGGTTCAAACATTGTGCGGACATTCCATGTCTCCACGTTTACTTTCGCTTTCATCGAGAGAGAGAAGACACATCGGCCAATTGGCTTCCCGAAGGCTTTCACCAACTGGCGTCATTTCGCCTCTCCGATTCCAGGGAGGAATAATTTTGTTTTTATTTTTTATATTTTGTTTGTGCTTTGAAGTTTCTTTAGCGGTTAGATTTGTTTTACGGGGTAGGGTTGCTAGCCCTATGCCCAACCTTCCCTCTTTACCCGGGCTTAGTACCGGCTAGTAACTAGTGTACTAGTTAACCAGGCGAGGTTTTCCCACTAATATAGCAAACAATAATGACTCGCCTAGGCAGTTATAAATAATATCTGAAGAGAAGGTCGATTGTCTAGTCCTATTACATACACCTTATTGATCTACTATTTTCATCAATTTTACACTACCTTCTGAGTCATCACCCGCTCTATTATTATTGTCATCACCACATAGTGTTTAGTTTTCCTCACAGGATATAATTTTTCCATACATAATCGATTTTCTTATCACTCATACTTCAAGTGTTATCAAAAGTACATTTACGGTTATCATTATTATTATTTATTTAAGACATATTGTCTCGTCTTCAAATATTCATCCTTCCAAACTGGTAATCTATTCTTTCTCACACTTGATGTCTCACAACCCCATTCTACTTTTCATAGACGAAGTAAAAAATTTCCCCACCCTATTTTTGTTCCACCTTACTCGCACAACGGAAAAACCTCTCTGACCGAGTTGCTTATTCACTCACCTGTATTACATTGATCTTTGCTCCGTATCATTATGTAATTGGATGATTGTAAAGGTCACCACTTTCTGTACCAAAACTTGAATATTAACCTGAAAACTTAGTGTCAGATTTCTACTCTTGAAAAGGATGTTCCTAGCAAGATCGAAACGTTGAAGAATAGTACAAAATATTTGTTTATTTTGTTATTTGTTCTAATATACTACGCCAGGATTACACAAGTAAAAATACATCATATACAATGAAACATACTAACTCGGTGCCCAAGTTTTTTCAAACCATCCAGTCCATTGTTGATCAGGGTACCTTCAAACTTATTTATATTTTTCTGACAAAATTATGACAACCTTTTAATGAGCAAGAATTATGCATGAATACTTATGAACATACAAAGCACATGCAGACACACAGATACATGAGCATTAAAATGTGACCTTAAATTGTGAAACCAGTCTTCTCATACTGAAGACCAATTCAACTAATGAATTATTTATGAAATCAATAGAATGACCATCTATTGAATATATGGTTACGAACGACGATTACTCCTGTCTCAATAACATGGTTGCATTATGATAATAATGATGGGTGATGGCTAATATTGGAACCCAGGATGCGCGTTTCATCCTACTTAGGATTCATCAGCTGAGTGTACCAGCCTTACTGTGAACGATGTTGTTCCAACTAAGGCTTGAACCCGAGACCAATTGCTTCAAGCACTAGATTGTTTGCCACAAGTCCACCAAATCACGATAGTCACTTCTTATGCAGCGGGTATAGTTTATACTATGTTACTTTTATTATCCCATCATTGATTGGACCGAATTGATCGGTCTTCATTGACATATGAGCTCCCGCACGGGTGCCTCGATATTAACGGTATTTTCAATTTTGATAATAATGATGACTAGTGGCTAGCAGTGGAATCTAGGATGCCGAAGTGCCAATATGCCAATATAGACCTTTCGATTTGGCCCAATCAATGACCGGTTGGTATAGTCAACATCATATGCTTGCATTATAATAATACTAATACCAATGATAATAATAATAATAATTCACTTCATTCCAATTTGTGGTTCGATTTGGAATTCTAAGCATAATATATTTTAACTCTAACAAAATATATATGTTTGTATATACTCCTTTAAAACATTTCGAATTGTGTTATTATAAAAATTTAAGTGATGTAAAGAATATTACAGAAAAGAACATTTTACATTGTTAATAAAATTAGATTGTTAACTGTTACAAAGTTGATATGTGAGTTCTGTTCTGATACTTTTTTCCTCACTCCAATATGCGTGATAGATAAGGTACAGTTGAATTCTTGTACTTGGCTGTACGAGTGTACAGTCTTATGTAGTTTCTTCTTGTCCTCCTTGAGGAGATGCAATGAGAGAGTTGTAAGTACAGTGGATACTCAGTGTCAGTTGAAACTACTGTGGCTAGTCACCTACTAGAATTTAAATGTATATCAATTACAGTGTTAATGAGTTGGGCCAGTGGTATAGCACTTACCCTAATGACGAATCATTTTCTAAAAATAACCTCAACATTAAATAATGAATAAAAGTTAATTTAATGAGGCTATCAGAGGTCAATAAAACTGATGCTATTGATGATGGTGATGGAGGTGAAATGAAAAACTAAATCACAGTACGATTCTAAACTGTCGCCTCTGTTTTACTGGCCCAGAACTGTGGCTCAGTGATTTATGGAGAGGGTTATGGATTCAAAACCCCCTCCACTTACCAAGGTTTGGGTAACCCTCTCACAATAGGTGTGGCTCATTTCCTACTGCACGAATGTACACAAGATGGTTAAGTGTGTTTCGTTTTATCACCGGCCTGAAACTCTATTGACTGAACTAAGAGAACTAGCTGTTGATGAACTCTTAACTTCACATGAATCACCAGAAGTTTTGCCAGACTGCTATGCGAATCTGTCATAAGACCTGACTAGCTGGACTGTGAATATCATTGCAATCAACGGACTACGACTAATCGTGGATTTAGATGGCAGTCAGGCAAAACCCCTCGGTGATTCATGTGCAGTTAGGACCTCGCCAGGAGCTGAGTCACATAGTTCAGTCAGTGGAGCAGTGCGCCAGAAGCCGCTAGTTTGAATTTAACCTTTACTTAGGTTTTCATTTCATCTTCTATGATCCATTACCCAGTAACAAATACATTCGTGCGTTACTTAATACAAACTGTGTTCAGTTATTTGATGATATCATCGTATTAGTTGTTTCACACATCATATTTCTATGTGTTTTCTCTTCTGTTATAGATGCAGCATATAGAAAAGGTAAGCAACACTGTTGTTTTTCTTCCCAATTCGTGTATGTATTATTACTAACACTAGGGCGTAGTGACTTTGATTTATTTGTGGTATCCATGATATTCAGTGAAATGTGTGTTTATGATGTTATATTAATCTTGTTGACCAGAAGAGGAGCTCAGAATGCGCATTTCTTCCTATTCGGGACTCACCAGCTGGATGTACCTGCACCCTAGTGCATGATGTTGTTCCCATAGAGGCTCGAGCCCAATACCCGTCGCTTCAAACGCCAAAGCGTTATTCACCAAGCCTCTTGGACAAGATAGGCACCTCTTGTGTGACGAGTTCAGTATCAATATATGGGACCCACTAGTCAGCTGTATGTACCAGGGACATTTGAAGCGATGGTTACTGGGAACAACGTCACTCACTGGGGTGCAGACACATCTAGCTGACGAGTCTCCAATAGGACGAGAACGCGTATTCTGGATTCCTCTGCTAGTCACCAAGATCAATATAACATTACGAATATTCAGGAGTATTGAGGTATCCGTATAGGAGCTCATCTCCCAACAGAGGTGGAGCAATTAGACCCTGTATAGCAATGGAAAATTACAAGTATCATATGTGATTATGAGTTTAGGCAGTCAACGTTCGAACAGTTGGTCAGTAATTTGAACCTCATACCACCCAGTAAGCCTTTGGGAGTCGGTTAGTCCCGTTCATTTTCAAATGGCAGGTGTTGCTTATTGTTAGGTGTCTGTTAATGATCGTAAGTAAGCTCAGGAAGAAGATAATTTTGACCAAATTTTGATTGATACACATATTGCATAATCTGAATTTTCTCTACAGTGCCTAGAACATTCATAAGCTATGAAATTGTTGGATTCCATTGCAAGTTTGATGTCATTTTGATAATCAACTATTAAGCAGGACAAACTGAACTGCAGCACTGCCAAACAAGCTACTAATTACTATTAAACTTTGTGATATAATATACAGTTTATTCGTCGAAATATGTTCTGCAACTACATTTCTGAAGGCATTGTTGAACAGTTCTCTGAAATAGAATGGAATATCTGTTCTTTTGGGTTTCTTTACGTCCAACTAACACCAATATATGATGAGAGCTAATTGTAAAGATTCTGTTATCCCTGGATATGCAGTTGATTTTTATATATCTAAGGTGTTAACTGCAGTGTAATTGATTGTGTCATGGTTGCATTTTTTTCCTACAACTATATATATATATATTGATGGATTTCTGTCCGTTAAATACAACTTAAGCTGGATGGCTAAAATTGTACTTTAGCTCACGATTTTAACACAATTTGATTCAAAGAACAGAGCTGCTAGCCAACACCGACTGTTTATATAGTTTTCCTTAGTTTCAAGATTTAACAATTAAACTACTAATGAAATGATCATTTATATAACAAAATATGAGCAAGATAAAATAATTATAATTTAAATCCCCTAGTTACATATAGTCACTCAAGGGTAATATGAAGGTAAATAGTAATAGTTAGCGATTAAATTCTTTTTTACCAATGCTTATGAGACTATAAAGTGATCCTTTCTAGCATACATTGGACCAACAACACTATATTCTCAGTATTCGGTTGATATTTGCTCCTATCATTTTAATATCGACGTTGTTGCACAGATATGATTGATGTCGAAGTAGGCAGTGTCAATTCTATCAGAGGCTATCAAATGTTGAACAAACTTTTGATTATGGTATCCTATGTAACCTTGTATCAATATATCGATCCATCACGAAATGGATCAAAGTTTTTGAAGTGATACTTAGTGTAAAGTTTAAACAATCATTACATCATTACGTTACAATGGTGTATCATATTTGTGTAACAGAAATTATGACTAGTGGTTTCGCATTTGGTTAGCATGAGTTGTTTAATTCATACCAAGCAGTCAACGAAATTAATATGATCATTTTGACTATCTGACATAGCCGTAGTTTGGCAGACTAGTATTTATACTGGGTGGTGATTGAAGATGAAATGAAAATTCTAATCACGCCTGGATTCGAACCAGTGACCACCGGGTTTCCGACCCACCATGAGTAGTCGGGCAAAACCCTTGATAGTTGAGGTAAAATAAAAACATGATCAGTAGTCTGACCTCGTATCTCAGTTGATAGAGCGTCGGGCCGGAAACCCAGTGGCTGCTGGTTCGAACTCGGCCGTGGTCCGAATTTTTATTTCACCTTCAATCATCACCCAGTATGAAATTAATATTGATAAATACTTTTTTTGTTTTAAATGTTACTGAAAGGTAATTATAAAGGCTGGTTTCGTTTATAACTAAACCACATTTTCAATATCTCCAGTTTTCAGATCGAAATCTAAAGCTAGGCATTACCTAAATTCAGAATTTTATTCTACTTTGTTGTCAAGGCTAAAGCGTTCAAACAACACGATATAATATACTGTTTGTTCGGTGGTAATGATAGTGTGAAGAAGTGCAAGCCTATTGTTGCGCAAAATACTGCTACTTTGTATAGGTAGGTACCGGACACCCACTTGATAACAGCATGATTCGTAGCACTCACTATTAAGATTTTCCCAATGAAGCCTAATTTTTCCATCTTTATGAGCAATAAAGCAATTCTTTAGCATATGCCTAAAATCTCTCTAAGCGTTGTTCTTTTTTACTGTCTCGAAAAATAACAACCAAACAGCTCGTGTAAACCATGATGTGGATTCAACCGATACAACTGTGAATAGTAATGATGTACAAGTTCAGCGGTCTAAAACTGCTTCTGACAATTCAAATAGTAATGTGTCTTCGTCGTCAATAACTACCGCTGATACTTCTGTGTCGTCATCTGTTTCTGCTCTTCCTCCTCCTATTTCCACTACGATTACAAATTTACCGACATCATCCCTGCCATGCAAAGAGAATGTGCGTATCAAATACGGGACAGAGCAAGTACTCAATTTACCTTTGAAAACAGAGTTTATTTCACGTAAGTACTTTGCTTATATTTTCAAACACCAGAATCATTGATGACACTCTAAGACGGAAACTTTTTCGATTTCAGAGATGCAGATAGATAGACAAAATCCACGCAGAACCTCGCGCAGAAGTACATATGTTCGAGTCACCACGATTCATAGTAGCATAAAGAGAACGAGTGGATAGGAAAAACTCGTATCAAAGTAGACAGTGGTATATTAAAGGAGGTACAGTTTAAAACTTTAGGTTAGTCGAAAGATTCTAGCTTTAGAAGAATTCAAAAGTTGAATTCATCTGCTCCACTGTGACCGATTTTGAGCCATGTCTCTAAGAGTCCTCAACCACCGATTCTTACCGTCCCGGGGACCCCGACCACCTTCCAATATGGCTAAGACTAGCAGTCACAGACTTCACTAACTGGTGCCACACCCTGTCTTGGCCACCCTCAACCCTCTTTAAATATACATACAGTTCACCAGACATATCATTTCTCTGCATCACCCTCTGGTCATACACCCCCTTGGCCTTATCTCGCCTGTTCATCTGCCCAGCAACTCATGTAATGCCAACCGACCCTCAAAGAAGACACCCCCATCGCCTTGCTGGCAGTGTAGTCCCTGGCATTTCATCAAATCTTGTTCACCTAAACAACATCGATGTCGGGACTATAATGCTGGGGCCCATAAGGACGGTATTTGCAGCCAACACTAAACGACATGTACAAAGATCATCCTCCAGATACCGCCACAGATCACATTCTCGATCGGTAGGTAAATCTCTTGGCTTGATAGCTGATTTTCATGCTCATTTACCTGCCCCCGAAAGAATATCGAGAAGACTACTGATCTGACAGTGAACAGGGAGAAACCCCCTTCTGCGTCGGTCAGATAAGTGTAGGAAAAAGACACTGCGGTCCAGTCTGACCCCAAATAACATTCTTTCGAAGAGGGAGATGATATGGAGATAGAGAGAAAAGATTAATCTGGAGAGGGGGCAATCGAAACGTATTTTATTTTATCACTTTTACAGTTGGGCTGACAGATAGATAGTGGATCAGCCAATCAACAGTATTATTTTAAACAGCGAATTATCTGTATATTAGATACATTTTCCTTTGTTTTTGCCTTCTGTCTTTCGATCCTAATACACATTTCTAAACGTCCATCGTGTCTTCTGCATGAATTAGACGGGTCGGGAATCAACTAGCAGTTTGTTGAATGTTGGTGGCTAACACTCTATATCCGTGCATCGTTAGTAGCCATAACAGTTTTCAAACTGTAACAGAATTCCTTCTGTAATAGTGTTAACCCAGGTTATGTAGTTCATTGTTTACTTATAGTCTGTTTTTATCTTCTATTTACTTTTCCATCCTTTTATTTTAAAGCTCTTGGTCGTTGTTTAGGACACGATTTTGATGAAAATATGAAAATCACTAGTAATCATTTTGTTGTAACTGCTGACAGTCGGGCTGTAATACTCTGTGGCTATTATGATAGATCATTTCGTATTTATGGATCACGTAGTGGTAAGTTGTTGTGTCTATCTATCACTTTTCTTTACCTCGTCTTTGAAAGATTCAATGAATGAATGATCTTATGATATAATTTGGTTGTTGATTATGATGTGTAACTATTTATTTCTACAGACCTCTGTGTTACAGTCTTGAATTATTCATGATTCCATTGTAATGTGTAGTTGTTGATAGTATAAAATTCTTCAGACTTTCCAAATTGAAGACGGCCTACTTAAACTTTGAGCTACCGAAAATTTTCCACTGGATTTATTTGATCAAATTCTTCCCTTTCAATTTGTTATAATCTTTGAAATATGTCGTTTAAACATGTCATATACTCTTGCACAGTTTTAAAATGGTTTCAAACAACCATTTTTCAAGCTAACAACAAAATAAAGAATAAACGATACCCGGGTAAGAGATAGGGCTTATAAATGCACAGAAATGCAAAACATTATACCAATCCTCTTTATATGACTATGTCGATTTGTAGATTTTAGTGTTGCCTGATAGAACTACCATCTCCAAAATTACGCGTGAATTTCTAATCTTTTACCTATTCAAACTAGGTGCCTGTTTCACATTGAGGTTTTAATGACTGTAATAGTAAGCATTATTCAAATGCAATGATTATTTCACTTCAAGATATTGTTAAGGGAATGAATTTTCTGAACTATTACATGCTCAAAATTCCTTACTGTACCAGATGTTTGGTTTGGAATTATGCTGTCGTTATTATCATGATGATTATTAAAAACGTTTAATCCTCATGATTTAAGCGGACGTGGTATGTATTTAATAGTTGTAATCTTCTAAATGCTAACTGTTGATTGGTTATAGTTAATATTGGCGCTCACTTAGTCTTCTGTCACTTCAAGAGAATAATTCTTTGAAAAATTAATTGAAACTGTAACCTAGATCACGGTTTCTTTTATAACAATCTGTATTGGTTGACTGATTATTGCAACACTCTGGTTATCTTATGTGAAAATGTTAACTTCTTAAGAAATAATCTACACCAAATTCTGCTAGTCTTTGTGAATGACTGGAGGTTACGTGAACAATCAACTGCTGGTTTATTCACTTAAATAAATGTTCAGTATTTAATGCGGTGTTGATTTCACTGTTGAACATTGAAAATACCTGTTTACATTAAGGATAAACGTAGATTTACAATAACTGTATCGCATTTTATTCAACAGTAGACCTGCTTCATTTTTCATCAGAAATCTTATACTCGCTGTAGAAAGTGATATATCAGTATTTGGACACAATGAAATGTGATCCAACAGTGAACAGGATTACTTCAATTCTATATAAGTGTAAAATTTCGGCACTGTGGTAGAATTCGATTCCATAGTAGATTTTTTTTTATATGATTTATAACACAGTGATCTAGTATTATTTACTTGATCACCACGTTTCCAGCGTAAATTATCATTACTCATAATCATACTAATGTAGTAAAGTTTTCCATATCTCCGGTATAGGTGTTACATCATTCCTATTACATATGCTAGTTGGATGTAGATTCCATGAACAAAGATTCAGTAATCAGCCTCCCTCCCTCTAATTATATTGAACTTAATTAAGTACAGTGGTTTTATCCCACCCATCCGATTGTGTGCATTGAAATAGCTGTCTTTTTCTAGATTATTAATCTTATTCGGATCTGTTAATTCCTATGTTCCACCAATGTAACTGACCATGACCGGCTAGTTTCACCTATGTACTTGACCTCACAGTTATTACATAGAATTTGATGGATTAGATTATTTTGCTTAATTCGATCCATCGGATCCTGAAGTCAACCGACAAAGCTCATCTCTGAGTGAATTTTGTAGGTTTAAATATCACCCTAATTCCAGTCTCATTGAGAATCCTTCTTGCACATTCTCATGTTCCTTTCTTATATGGTAACACAATAGAGGATTTCAACTTATTTCTACTTGTGTTGTTGTCATTATTTGTATTTGTAATACTGTCATTATTTTGTTTCTTATGTTGCCTACAGTTTTTTTTAATAAACGGTAGAGGATAATCATCAATTATTAACGCTTCTTGTATACGTTTAAATTCCTTGTTTATGTCTGTCCAGTGACTAGTGAGTTTTCTTGCTCTATCATTTCGATATTTTACTAAACCCACCCTCATTGACATTGGATGAGATGATCTGAAGTCTAGATACCTGTTACAATGTGTCGGTTCCTCAAAATAATAATAATAATAATACTGGCAGTAATACAAATACAAACAATGGCAACAACTACATTGATATGATTATGAGTAATGATAATTTACACTGGAAACGTGGTGATCAAGTAAATAATAGTGTATCATTGTGCGCTACATAGCAAATAAACAAATCCAATATGGAATTATTTTTTATTCTGTTTGAACCAACTGTAGTTAAATTATGCATGTGTTTGAGATTCTATTGTTAACGAATAACATGTTACGTCAATCATGTCTAGTTTTTATCAATAATTTTCCTATGTTATTTATCAACATATCATTAGTGATCCTATCTGTGATTGTTGTCCACGTGTATTTACAATAATATAATATATCCTTTTCATGGTCAGTTCTAACAGTCACTAATATAATTGGTTCTTTCAGTAGTTAAAGTGGTTCATTTAACTAACTAAGATGATTTTCATTGACCGTATTATCTTATCCCATGTTCTGACCTTATTATACGAGTCAGTGTTGTACTTCAAGTTAATCTATTTGATATCATAGTATGTTTTGCTTGATATTTAATGGTTTCAACTATAATAAACACAATATGTTTCCTATCATAACAGGAATGACTGAAGGTGATCACTAGGAATTCTATAACTTTTCAGGAGGTTGTTCTCATCTTCTGATTATGAATAGGATTGAACTGCAAAAATGTATTAAATACATTGAAATGTATATTTCATTTGATTTAGAATGGAAGAATAAATGAAATTTGTTGCTAAAATATAATTGAAAGTACATAATTCTTTATCAACTAGATCTTTGCAGAAGTATTTAATCTCTTTCTGCATGAATATTTAGTGAATGTGTTTACTCTTTTTTATCTGCTTTTTTTCCTTTCAAAAAACAAATAAACAACCAAATAATATTGAATATTTTATAGGTCGCTTAATTCAAGCAGTATTTGGGCATGGTGATACTGTTACTTGTTTAGCTCGTTCAGAGTGTCATCTTAGCCAGTATTATTATCTGGCATCTGGTAGTCGAGATTGTACTGTTATGTTGTGGATGTTTAGTATGCAACGTTTATGTGTTGTAAATAGTCAAGGTAAGTGTATGCTAAATCTGTTACTTTGTATACTAATACAACTTTTTACTCAAAATGGCCTAGATATTGAGACATTGAACAGTGTAGTAGGCTGCAATGGTGTTATGTTATTTCGGCTGTGTAAACTTCACATCGTTGACTTGATTATATCGAAGTGGATAGCATTAGGTACCTCGTGCGGAGCATATACTGATTTAAATTTAGAGGTTTGGGTTTTAGTGATTTTTCATGTTGGTATTCATCATGGACTGACATCAATTGGAGAAACGTTGGTAACTTGTGAGCGCTAGACAGCTGTTTCGTCCTAGTATGGAACTCCTCAGCAGTGTACACCCATGATTCCATCAGGGATCAAACCCAAGACCTTCAGGTTCCGTCGTCAGCACGTTACCATTGACCCACTGAGTCGAAATTCAGTGGTCCATATTTCTTGCACCCAGGTTTTTAATGTTTCTCCAATTGATATCAATCCATCTTGAATATCAACCTGAAATCAATAACTGAATTCCCACAAACCTCTAAATTGAAATAATCTAATGCTGATTGCTGATTAGTTCTCAGAGGTGGTTTCCAAAGTTCCAAGAGGAAATCGTGACAGGTGTGGCCAACCAAGTTGAAGATTAAGACAGTTACTCAACGACGGGATTCGATGGCGGTGGCGCTACATCATGAACTAAAAGAAGAAGAAAATGTGAACCATTGAGTTCCGACCCAGTAGCTCAATGGTAACTTGTTGACCACGGAACCCGAAGGTCCTGGGTTCGATCTCTGCTGGGGTTTTGAGTGCGCACTGCTGAACAGTCCTATACTAAGACAAAACAGCTATCTGTCTCTCTTAGGTTTACAATGTTCCAGTTCCTTGGTGTTTACCAACCGGAAACCAATAAATCAATCCCTAAAAATCTCAAAGTTGAACATGTATAGTTGTTCGCTAGTTACTATGAAAATCTCAGGTCAGAAGTTAATACCCACTTTAATAAACTTCAATATTGTAAACACGATATACACAGTTGAGAGGATATTATTTTGACTATCTGAGATAGCTATGGTTTGGCAGACTAGTGTACTTATACTGGATGATGATTGGAGGTGAAATGAGAATTTGGACCACTGTCGCATTAGAACCAGCGATCACTGAATTTTCAGCTTGATGCTTTACTAACTGAGCTACGAGGTCAAACCACGGCTATCTGAGATAGTCAATATGATGCTCCATCCTCTCTCTCTAATTTAGCTACATTTGGATTGGGATGAGAAGTCCTGACTAGCTAACCAGTGTGAGTACGATCAAGTGATAGTAACGCGTAACGAATTCACATGATAGTCGGGTAAAACCCATGGTAATTGAAGAGAAATAAAAATCTGTCCAGTAGTCGGATCTCTTACGTTAGATGGTACAGCATGTGGTTGGAAACCTGGTGGTGGCTGGTTCGAATCCTACAGTGGTCCAAATTTTCATTTCGCTTTCAATCACCACCCAGTCTCAATTGTAAAGATGGTTAGAAAACCTAAATAAAGTTAGTTTTTATTCTTGATCTGTAGAGCTATAGCTCATTCGTTTACACATCCGAATTTCAACTATAATGGGTCATAGGTTAGAACTCTGCTGCATCTACTGAGGTTTAAACAGTCACTAAGTATCATTATTGGCCTTGACATAATCGGTATGTCTCACCGCCTAGTGTATGAACATGTATGTGCTTGTTCAGAGAGATTGATTTTCTCAATAGCTTCGTTTCTCCTTTTATGGATTCCTTTTTTTTAAAAAAACTTCTTATGCTTTAAATTTAAGTGTGTATTGTTTACTTTTCTATTTTTAGGGTCACCTAAGCCACTAGTTATCTTAAATGGTCATGAAACTAGTGTCAGTTGTATCAGTTTATCAGCTGAATTGGGACTAGTGCTTAGTGGATCAATCAGTAAGTAGTCTCTTTTTGCAAACGTAAATCAATTTCACATGCTAGATAATGAATACATTATTCAGGGTTGTTTTTTTTTTGTTGTTGTTAAGATTCATACCTTTGTATATGACATACTTCATTTTTGTTAAGCATAAATTACTTAGGTAATTTTTTATTGACTTTAGGTTGATATATTCATCATAGATTGACATTAATTGGAGGAACATTAGACAGTTGTCTTGTCCTAGTATGGGACTCTTCAACAGTGTGCATCCAAGACCTCACCAGGGATTTAACCCCAGAATCCTGGCGAAGTCTAAGTTCATTTATCTTGTTTTTCAAGATAAACTTTGACGTATACTTGACCGAAAGGAATAAATCCTACTTATTCTGTCATAGTTTGAGTTTAATCCTGTTCAGATATATATTCACTCACGTACTTTGTTCTAAATTTATGAATATGTGCATTTGTCAGTTTACATTAATTTAAGATTAGTATATTGTGACCATACTACAAGTCTGGTTTAGTGCACTAGTTGATCAGACTAAAGTAGGTGCAGTGGAATTTGAACTGGTTGCTTAAACTCAGAATGTCTTAAATAAAAAATCACAGTTTCTTCCTTATAATAATATTTGTATTGTTCACTGATGATGACATTTCACAACTTGCACAAAAGAAATATTTGATAATTAGGCAGAAGTTGTGTGAACAACACACTTATAGAATGGGATATCTTTCAGAGAAATGTACACAAGTGAATCGCTTCCCACCCAATTATATTACATCATAGAGTTTAATTTATAACTATGGTATACAAAGAAATGGATAACAAAATCCATCAGACATATGATCTGGATTACCAATAATCCTATCTGAAGATTTATGGGGATGCATTAGTTGATTTCAGGTTGGAATTTATCATAGGCTGGAAACAGTTTGAGAAGCACTGGAAAGCTGTTTCATCTTACTGCTCAACAATGAGCACCCATCACCCGACCAGGGCTCGAACCCAAGATCTTTGGGTTCCATGGCCAGCACGTTACCATTGAGCCACTGGGTCGAAATCCATTGGTCCATATTTCCAACTTCTGTCAGCTGTTACTCAGAGACAGCGTACCACCTGTCGTAGACATCGACAGAAATCAATAAACCCAACATCCTACCATACATAAAGAATGTATCAGAAATCACGACAAGATTACTGAAACTACTTGAAAATTGGTGTAGCTCATAAACCACAAATTCCCTCCAAACATTATTATGCAGACCAAACTATGCAACAACCAAAGAAGACAAAGCAAACATCATTTATAAAATCAAGTGCAATAACCGTGGTGAACACTACATTGGACAAAGTGGTCACCCTCTTCGCCTTCGTCTGCATGAACACCAATTGGCCATTAAACGTCACGACATTTCATCACTCAATTCAATGCACGTGGATAACAACTATGGACATGAATTCAATTTTGACAATGTACAAATTTGGGACGGAGAGAGGAAACACAAAGAATATCAGAAAATTCCTAGAAGTTTGGTATTCAGATCAGTCGGTCAGTCGGCAATCAACAGATGTATGGACATAGACCCAATCTATCAACCAATAAGAAAGATGATAGATGACAGAAATGTCAGAGGGACAGCCAACAGGAAACTCTATACAGTCAATGACATAACAATCAAAATAAACAACGAATCAGGAACCAATTCGTCAGGTCAAGGTACTAAGTGACTCACAGAGAGATACTGACAGCTCACTTTATACTGAAGTAAGTGCTGATGATGTCGTCTAGAAAGAGGCTGAAAGTTCCACGACTAAACAACCCAGCTCAGAGAACACAATACAACGAGGATAGCTAAGGTCTCAAAGGTTTCATAGATTTTGGGCTTTTTATATAGACTATGACAATCTTATTCCATTACTTCCTTACTGAATCATATCTACACCAATTATGTTGCTTGAATAGTACAATCTCATTAGTATAGATAGTTGACTTTCATCGAGTGATTTGGGGATTCGAACACCGCTCTACCTATCGAAGGTTTAATCAGCCAGTTAATTTCATTAAGCTTCTCACACAGTAGGTGTTGTTGATTGCCTATTGCATAAATATGAACAAGGTTGCCTAATGGGTTTCAATTGGATTCTGTTTGAATAATTCAATTCATTGATATCTACTGAATTGTACCTACAGGGGGATTTATGGGTTTTTGTTCATGTATACAAACATAACCGAGTTCAATCGGTTGGTCTTTTTTCCTCTATTGTTTATAGTTATTTTATTTACTATATACTTTTTTATTTCTCTAGATGGAAGTTGTCTGTTGCATTCAACTCGTGGTGAACTACTTCGTTGTTTACATTCACCGTGTACAACAATAATATCTGATCAGTTATCACCAGTATCGTCATCATCATCATCATCAGTGTGTAATGCTAATCGACTTCAGCCTAACCTACTTACATATCATCGTGAAGGTTATTTACTTGGTCAATTCGATCATTCATGGTTATCAGTTTATAGTTTAAATGGGAAATTGTTACATTCTAGAGATTTAAGCATTTTATCAAATAATACTAATTCTTCTATTATTTATCATATTAATGCAATGATATTTAGTAATTGTGGTCGATATATTCTAGTCGGTGGAAATGATGGTGTTATATGGATATTAAGAAGTTATAATTTGATACCAGTTCATGTATTTCCTAAATGTGATACATCAATTGAATCATTATGCTTAATTTATGATCAACGGTGAGTTAGTTAGTTATTTCATGATGATTATTTCATTTTATACTCTAAATTTTTTTTTTTTTCTACTTGTTTATGTGTATATTTTTGAGTTTACTTACAATTTTATAATATATAATGTAGTTAGTTAGATAATCAGTCTTGAAATGAAAAAAGTTGTGTACTTCGGTTAACAAAGTTGATCACTATTGAAATCGATTTTAAAGATGCACATCTAACTCGAACCAGTAATCTACATAGTTTACTGATTAATCATTCTATTATTGCTTCATTAAAAAGGTATAATTTTATATATATATATATATTCTGCCTATTTTCCAACTTTACTTCAAATCATAACTATTTAGTTGGTCTAGGCTTTCGATTGTCAATCATTGGGTGTGAAATTCATTCCACCTCCTTCAATCTAAGCAACCTTTTATGTATCATAGATCAACTGGTCTGTCTCTGTCTATCTGTCTGTCTGTCTGTCTCTCTCTCTCTCATATACACATACTACATGTGTAGCTCATAATCTGCTAAAGATACTTCCATTTAGTTTCTTTTTTCAGAGTTTCTTTTCCAGCTGAAAATAAATTACCCTCATAACAATGACTTTGTTTGTGTGTGTTATTCAGTACATATTCATAAAACATAATCATAAAATGATAGTAGTTTCGATGTTTTCCAGGCTTTGATGAAGTCACCTAGTGCGGTGATGAAATATCTAAAGACTCGGAGAATACTAAACAATTATAAGTCTCATCCTGAACTATGAATCCTCTCTACTATTTCACAATCATAATGAATTAAAAATAATACATGTTCATTTTGTCAAAAAGGTGTTATTTCTCTGATCTTGTGTAATTTTACCATATCGGTTGAATTGATCAATATCGTATCGTAATGCGCTTAGCAACCTTTTAAAAATTCATGCAGTAAGCAATGAGCCACATCTAGTGAGCGGTACTCAAACCTGTGACGCGAAACCAATGAGACACATCTCTACTAATTAGTCAGTGTATCACTTAAATCTGAAAAGTACACTTGTAATGTTTAAATGCTATAATTTCCAATTTTAAATAATGATAAACTGTTTGTTTCTAAATTATGTTTTTCTCAATCCCATATAAACAACTAGATTTTAATTATATGAATGCTAGTAATGCTTCCTATACAGCATAATTCGATCACTAACCAGCTTTTTTTCTCGCTTATATGATTATGGTAAGTTTCTGTGATAAACAAACTTCGTATTGGTTACGTTGATGCATCATTTGATGAAATTAACCTCTTTTTATTCATTTTATTTTTTCAGGTTCATTTTGGCTGGCCTCAAATCTGGTAGTCTAGTTGTTTTCTTCGTTGATTTCAACCAATGGCATCATGAATTTCAACAGCGTTACTCTTGAAAAGTTAACTAACATGACAACAATAATCTACCATTACATATCATATCATATTCATTCCCTCTCCCTAGGTGTATTTTGCTTCTAATTTTTTCAATTTTTCTAATCTTCTCTTGAGGTTACTGAAATTCGATTTTAGTAGTTAAATTAGAAAAACATTTATTTTGTTGTTGTGTTTTGGGATCATTTGTGAAATTGCCTTTCTTTATTTCTAGTTTCATGTTATTTTTTTTTCCTCTTAAATACAAAAATTGGTATAGACTGTCTTAAGTTTATATACCGAATTCCATCCAGTGTGATAATAATTGAATGTGATAATTGAAAACCAATATTCTTATGTTCTTTTGCCTGAGCACTACACTCTTTTCTCCATTGTAAAAATGTTTCCAAATAATTTTCTGATGCTAACTAATATTCTGTGTATAATGGTCAATTATTTGTTTTAATCATGACTAAAGAATATCGAACATTTTTGTTATATTCAATGGAAATGAACAAAGTTCGGTTATGGGTCTCAGTTCCTTCGTTTTCTTTTCTACAGCAAAACTGAATAAACCGTAGGAATTCATTTCGTAACTTTTGATTTATGTAAACATCTAATATAATGATGATGTTTAACTTAAATTTACACTGGATGAAGTGGTTTTACTGATTGTATAGCAGATAAATTTCTTCTGTCTACTCACTATGATCAACTGATGACTGCTTCACGGTTCAACTGAATGCAATTGAAAAATCGAATTCGGAGCCCATTGACTGCGTATCTATTAATCGGTAAAATTCAGATGCAGAGGCTAGAACTAAGAATGTCAGTGAAATTTCATAGTCACTAATATTGAAAAATACGACCAGTGTAGAAGAGTTATTATTATTATTATTTGTCCCTTGCATACCAATGGGACATCGGGCTTGTCTCCAATGCACTTTGTTCTCTGTAATCTTCTCAACCTGGCACCACGACTGCCCAGAAGCTCTCATTTCTTCTTCACACGATTTCTATATTACCCTCACCTCCGACGCCCAACTCGCCGTTTCCTATTTCGGTTCCACTCGAGCAACTGGCCTAGCGCGTGGTGTCCCCAGTCGGCCTTCTCAGTGTATGCCCAATCCATCTCCACTTCCTTCCAATGCATATTTATTGAGCGATAGCTTCTTGGTTGGTTCGTCGCCAGCCAGCCAGAGTTCCTTGTTGCTTATTCTTTCTGGCCATCTTATCTTCAGTGACGAGCCAGCGTACGCAGTTGTTGATGTATATCTGTAGATTGTTGGAAATCCCCTTCGTAACGCGCCAAGTCTCTCAACTATCATATAGAAACACTGACTTAAAATCCGAATCTTGTTCACACTTTATGCTGAGTGGAGTGCAGTAGATCTCCACACTGGTTTCAGGTTAATGAACGCCTGTCTTGCTTTTGTGATCCTGGCTGGCTTTGACGTCCTTGTCTGTGCCTGTGCCTGTGCCGCCTGTAGTTGAAACGGTGCTGCCTTGCCTAGGTAGTTGGGAGAGGCTACTTTCTTTAAGTTTCTCCCATTGATGGTGATTGGAGCTTGTTGGTGTTGTTGTTGTTGTGGTGGTGGTGGTAGTGTTGGTTAGGTATCTTCATCACCTCTGTCTTCTCTACGTTCACCTGAAGGAAGTCCGTGTTCGCTGCCCTGCCCCTTTTGTCAACTTGTTGGATTTTGCCTGCAGATCTCCAAGTTTGTGCGACAAGACATTAGACACAAGTCATTGGCGAAATCCAAATCTTCTAGGATGTTTTCGCCGGTCCAGCGTGCGCCCCTGTTCTCGCTGCTCACAGTTTGTTGCGTGATCCAGTTCAATCGGCCACAATCAGGAATACCATGGATGATAGTAGACAGTCTTGTTTTACTCCTGTCTTCACTTCACTTCAAAAGCATCACTGAGCTTCCTACTGTGAATTACTTCATATAGTTGTTGAATGAGGTTTATAAAGGTTTGTGGGACTAAAAGTGTAGTGTTGAAGCAGTTTCCAAATTACTTGTCGGTCGACGCTGTCGATGGTCTTTCAAAGTCGATAAAGTTGAGGTAGAGGGTTGACTGCGAAGCGTTGCAATTTAGAAGAGTTATAGTCTTATTTATCAGTAACGTTTGATCAGTCAAAGGTAATATGATGGTTAGCAGACAGTCACAAAATAAAGTAACGCCACGTTTTTATCCTCTCGAACAGTTACCTTGCCAAGAGGAGTCCTCAAAATGAGAATATTCATCATTACCGCACCCATGATATCTCATTAAAATTCATCTAAACTACAATTATAGTAATCAATTGTTTTCCAAGGCTTAGCTTTTTAAGAATATAGCCTCAAAGACTAATCTAGGTGTCATTATTAACACAAAGGAGCGAGACTGACGTTTTTTCCCGTTAATGTACTTTCAGGGCTAAGTTCTTCTACTTTGTTTATTGACATTAAGTTAAAAAGATAAGATATTTACTACTTTTTTATTGGTCTATTGTCGTGAATTCGATCTATGTGAAATAGGTGATGATTCAGACATACTTAATATTGAATATGGATTAAGAGGGAATAAATAAGAGCTAGGTGAATTAGACCTTCACTTGTGGATGAATTAAGAAATGGTTTACCGACGAATCATTTTTTTGATCAGATCATCAAATAAATTCAACTCAACAGAACTTTCATTTACATCAAGAATTTACCAACTCTTATTAGTTTTTCATTTGTAAAGATGACATATAAAGTAATGTCTGTTTTAACGAATTGATATTCAAAAATGTAAGAAAAACTCATTATGAGGTACAAATATTTGCTGCCATTGCAAGCGATTACATAATCCAGTTTGCAATGATTTTTTGATCTACTTATCTATCAACAGCCGATCGATAGCTGCTACCTTGAAGTGGGGGTCAGGCATGCATATAACAACGACCCAACGAGCTATGCTGGTGTAACGCTTGTTCCGTCGAGAGTCTACCATACTAGAAAAGACTGCTGGATAGTGGTTAAACAGTTACTGTTCTGGTGTGAAGTTTTAAGTTATGATGAGGGTCTGAGGTTGAAGCCATACTGCCTGCTGGATGGGAATTTTACAGTAGTAGGAAAATGCTCCCCACAGATACCTGGCACTACCATGCTGCTACTGCCTTCTCTATAGGATGGGTGATGGTTAGAAAAAGTGGATCCTAGAAATAGGATACTCCCTTCTACCACGCCTATACCAGTGCTGGAGACCTGATTTCATAATCGGAGTCGAAACCAACAAACTTGAATCTGAAACTGCTGAGCGCTGTGCGTGTGACCGGCATCAGGCAGATGTCCACTGGGCTCTGTGGTCACACAATGACCCCTTCATATCCAGATACCTCAAAAAGAAGTAGATTTTCACAGTGTGAACAGCTGAAAAGTACCAACCGCTCTTCACAACTCTGTCAGCCCTCAAGTCCTCTCAGAGCTGACCGTAGGATTTAATGAATAATCTAAAGAACATAAACCATTTAGTTTAAAATCTTTCGTTACTTCAGTTTACTGGAAGGAAATCTACCAGATGATTTCAGATGCCATCCTAACAACAACTGAAACAACCTATCAGGCTCTTTCACCTTATAAAAAGCTGCCTTTCAAGTCGTATCAGAGAAACCTGATCGGTTATCTCAGTGGTTGCCACGGTAATCTTAAAAGGTAGTCAAATTAGCCTTGATCTATTGTTTGGGTGCCTCGGGATTTAAGTTACTGTGTTGGCCTATATATCTCTAGAAAATCACAAATGTAGATTCACTAGATTAATATTGTTTTTTTATACCTGTATTTATTCTAGCGTTATTCAGAATTGAAGTGCTTAGCTCACAGGTCAATTCAACAGTCATTATATATGAAGTTTCCGACAAGTAGCATATTGAGACAATCACTGTATCTGCGAAGAATTACTCGCATTTGGTGGAATCATTGTGTGAATAATATTGAGATCAAACTAAGGGTACTAGACAGGACGGGCTGGTAAGTCGACTTGTGGACCTTAGTCGACTGAGATGGCTCGGATATGTATTGCGTGTGCCGCTCCACCACCTATTTTGATACGGGAGGTCGCATTGTTTCAACACGGTTGAGGGTGACCAGACGAAGACGTGGTACCAGTCGACGAATTTGACTTTTGGTCTGAGTTGTGTTGGGAGATGTAGACTACTGGGCTGGGGTCCCTGAGATGAAAGGAGGGACCAGCGGTTAGGGTGACATGAATGAAAATCGGTCACTAAGGTGCAGATGTATTCACTCCTTGATGTATTCTAAAGCTTGAATATTCGTTATCTGTAGATTGTTTATTCTCTCACACAACTTTCGCTCTTCTTCTTTCCACACGTTCTTTCTGTACTATTACGAAGTGTGGCTGTATATATATATGTCATAGATACCCCTGAACAGCCTACAACTCTAGACGTAACCAATGAAATTCATCCAAGTGTACACCATCCGGTTGTTGCTATCGTAATCTGCTTTCGTCAAGCGTAGTGATAAAATATCATTACGAACTACGAATATGAAGACAAACAATTCATTAAGAACTATAATGAATAGTGTACGAATCGATGCGTGTTTCAAGTCTGAATGGTAATAATCTCCTATAGACGCTTGACATTAGTTCAACGGAACAAATCATCTTCATAGTAAATAAAGGTTGTTTTAAATTTTCCGCAATTCAATTATCACTAAATTGTATTGTTGATACAAGTGATAGCGTTCAAAACAACTCTGCATATCATGTTTCATGGGGAAATTGTGTACTCCTAAAAGTGAACACAATAAATACTATGCATAATATCATATGGAATATGCATTTTTATAAGTCAAGACTTTAAAAGCCTAACAATGTCATGAATTAGAATTCTTGCTCACCTATTTAAACGTGCTTGGCTTCATACAACAATTGATGATTATGAAAATATGCATTATTATTATTATTATTAGTCCCTTGGGTTCCTAATGGAACATAGGGCTTCAGTAGCACGTCTCCAGTGAACTCTGTTCTCTGAGAGCTTTTGAACCTGGCTCCACGACAGCCCAGAAGCTCTCATTTCCTCCCCGCACGGTCTCCTCCATGTCACCCTCACCTCGGACGTCCAACTCGTCTCTTCCCATGGGGATTCCACTCGAGCAACTGGCCTGACGCGTGATGTCCCCAGTCGGCTTTCTCAGTGTATGCCCAATCCATCTCCACTTCCTTCCAATGCATATTTGTTGGGTGATAGGTTCTTAGTTGGTTCGTTCCCAGAGCTCCTTGTTGCTTATTCTTTCTGGCCATCTTATCTTCAGTAACGAGTCAGCGTACGCAGTTGTTGATGTCTATAGTTTGTTGGAAATGCTTTTCGTAACGCGCCAAGTCTCTCAACTATCACATAGAAACACTGACTTGACGTTGGTGTTGAAAATCCGCATCTTGTTCCACATGCTAAGTGCAGAAGACCTCCACACTGGTTTCGGGTTAATGAACGCCTGTCATTATAATGAAAATATGCATAAACCTAGAGAATTGTCAATTTGTATTTCATTATACTGATAATCTTATACATTAGTATGGATTAGATATGTGTCCT